AAATTTCTTTTTTTTTAAAATGCGTTCAACCTGGAGATGTCTTAAAAGCTCAATCAGAAAAATTTAACTTCTTGTACCGCGATTTCTGTTAAAAGACACTCGCAAGTATATTGTTTTGCAGCGTTTTATATAGTGTTTGTGATTAGACGGGCTTGGCCCTAATGGAGCAAAACAAATAAATATCTTCGAGTTAGTTAGAATGGATAAACAAAAATAAACAGATGGAAAAAGGAATGCTCAAATTCAGTAATATAAAACGGAAAAAAAGGATGGATGTCAATGCTATTAAAGTACCAAATTAATATTGGATTAGAAAAGGGAGCCAGTTAGCATGTCAAAATAAGGAACAAAATTTCCTATAGTAAAAGGCCATGACTAAATTGATCAATTTAATGGGCAGTAGAAGATTTTGCTCCTTGTATGGTAATAGCTAACCCTCCTTTATATAATGCTCGCATATTAAGCGAAATGATGCATAATCAATCCGGAACTTTTGGCTCTTGCTTCCGCCTATTTCGCCGATAGCATCAAATTGATTTCAAAGTACTGTACATCCGATGGAAAAGAAAATTTAATAGTTTATTTATCTTACAACCTGTGATGCCTTGCATCCCCCTCTCACCTTTATGAGCACTTACTAGTACTAGGAAATCGCAGGCTGAAAAAAATATTATTTTACTACGGCTAGATACCATATGATACGGTCAAAGCTCCTACTTAAAATTATGAAATAGTCTAGGAGGTAATTAATAATAATAATAGTCGACCACCCTACATTCGCCTTGCTTTAATATACTACTGTTCTGCTCGTTATGAGCAGACAACCTAAGGCATACCATCCCTCGGAATGAGTTCAAATTCCAATTGATCTTTCCAGAACATAATCAAAACCATATATTCTACAAATGAGTCCGACGGATACAAATTACATTGTAGAAAAAATAAATGATTATTTTTGATGCAACTAAAAGCTACCATATCCGGCAGTTTCTATCGCTCACGACGCTTTCGCGAATTGCCAATAATAGGATCCATTTGAAATGAAACTGATCGTGATTTGTTTTCTAACCAAGCAAGTTGAATGGTGTTGTCAAAATACATTTTATATACCTGCATGAAGTCGTATCCAGAATAGATTACTCATCTTGAAGTTATAACTCAAAAGTATAGTAGTGTTCGCGACATTTATAGGATACTATTAAACTATTACTGCAAATGGTATCCATCACCTCCCGGGTGGATAATAACCACTGTTGTGCACTGTAAGACTAGAAACTTCGAGGATGCAGGTTTACTTTTTGGTTCTGGTTGAGCCATTCACTTTTGTTTGTCAGCAATATCGATAGAAACCATTTTCTTATACAATTCCGATTGTACAAATACAGCCATGTGTAGCCGTAATGTATAATTGATAATCTGAAAATGGCATCTACAGTGATCAAAGATAGACAGCAGTAAATGAGATTATGCAGCGGAAATCTTAATACGTTCCTTTTGCTATTAAATATCACCCAGTTCAATGTATGTAGTGGCCTCAGGAATGATCGCTAGCTATTTAGCAAAAGAAGGAAATTCACTTTACAAATTGAACCAAATTGAACGAATATTAGAGTCAGATTGATACGAATAGCCATACATAAGCTGGTAAAATCTTCATATAAAGAAAATACGTATAACAAATCTTCATTTTACAATCTCAACCAAGTTTAGCGCTTGGCTGTGTCAGAAAGAAACCGATAGGCATGCATAAGCTAGTAAAATCTCCACATAATAAAGATAATATAAATAGTTTCATCAATACAGCACATTAAAATGCCATAAAGCCAATGGCAATGTATTGGTAGAGTAGCAAAGTAGCTCGTTAATAAAGACAGATACCTTTGAGAAATCAGGTGCAAAAGCAAGATTGATGCCAAATAATACACCAGTAGATTATTCATCCACTTCTAAAGGAAATCTCGTTATAGAACAGTCGTTGGCTTTGAGTTTGGACTAAAGGAACAAGATACAAAGATGAGTTTATTTGCGTTCATCTAGTTACATACAGGTATATCTTAACAATAAGTTCACTTACACAGAACGGGAAAAATCCTACACTATGGAGAAAACGATGATAGTATAATCGGTACTGCTATCGAATCGTTCATCGAGCTATTGAGTAGGTTTACTGAACTCACTCGATGTCCAAATATCGATGGAACTATCTGTCTAGATAGTCATAAACTGTTAAAATTGCTATAGAATATACCAATCATGCATTGAACCAATTTTATATCAGCAAAGACGAAAGAGCCAAAAATGTTTGATTTATGAGGAAGTTCAATATTATCTGCTCTATTCCGTCTCCTTATAGTCGCCTAGATAGCCTGTATTTTATGCCATTTCTAATACACCAACGAATTGACGTATTGAATTGATGGAATTTCCAATGCTGCACCTTGTCCTAACCACTATTCTAGTAAATGTGATTAACTAGACATGAAATTCCTCTTGATTAATTCATCGTAAACAGAAACACAATCAATGTTAACATGTAAGATAGCCAACACCCAACAGCTAGTAATAGTTATTTCAGCCTCAATTGCTATAAAAGCTTCAACATTGTGTTTTAAGAAATGTTGTCCTCAAGCAATAAGCAATTTAAGTTATCGGCTATGGTATCAAATTATACCGTATTCAATATTATGTCATCAGCAAAATTACTTGCTGGCTATGTTAATAAATAATATGAAAATCGAATTAAGTGTTCAATAGCAAATTGAATATCAGGTCAAAGTGAGAGTACTAAAGCAGTTATAAGCAAACTATAAAATCCTTTGGATGGTAGCTGTACATAAAAATTTTTCCGTTATTCAGATTTATTTATTTCTACTGATGGATAACCGCAAAAGTAAGAGAAAATCTAGGAACTAGTGTAATATATTTATCCATAACATTTTCTCATCGAAATTATCTTAATTTCTTTAAAGGTAATTTGCATGTACGGTCTAATATTATTTAAATTATTCTTCCAATACCGATTTATTATTGGCAATGGAAGCGACTTACTGGATTAATATTCCAACGAAATCTATCAGTATAAGTTAGCTTCAAGAATCATATACTTCCTAATTTGGCAGAAATTTTATCTTGGCACCAAATTAATCACATGCAATATTCGAACAATGTTTTCTGGAACCGATTTTTTCAAAACTGACTAAAATATATTAGTAGAGACTTATTGGATTCAACATTCGATAGATTCTATTAGCAGAAGCTAACTCGAGTATCAAACTCTATCTAATTTGGCAGAAATTTTATCTCGGCACTAAAATTAATAACATGCAGTATTCTATCAATGCTTTCTGGAATCAATTTCTTTAAAACCGACTCGCATGCATAGTCTAATGTTATTTTAATATTATGTAATATCCATCGAAATTGATCCTCCAATAATGATTTACCGTTAGCGATAGAAGCGACTTACTGGATTAAAATTCAATAGGTCCTATAAGCCGAGGCTAGTTTCGAGTACAAAATTCGTTCTGATTTGGTAACAATTTTATCTTTACACCCAAGTCAATTAGACCTAATGTTTTATTAATGCTTTCTGGAACCGCTTTTTTTCACCTGCTCCATCACTTTCTTATTGATAGAGGTGATAAGCACTTTTCAAGAAAAAGGATGAAAGTATAATCGATTTTTCACCATTCTATTTTCGATTCTGCATTATGTTGAAATGTCTCCGGATGCAATTGTTTTATTCAATAAGGCACAAACGTTAAGAATATTTGATACACCTACTACAACAAAATGAATTATTTACCATAGGCAACAGAGCAAAATGACTCTTCCTGAGGCAATGATTACCTTGAATATCCCTTTACGAGAATTTGATAAAAGAATATTCATTACACCTATTACGATAAAATGAATTATTTACTTTAGGAAACAGAGCCAAATCATTTTCTGATAACGATTGCCTTAAACATCACTTTACTAGAGTTTTATTAAGATTGTTAAGATTGCAGACTGAAGGTATTAATTTACTTTCAGTTCATTAAGCTCGTAATCTATTTGACTTTCATGATCATGATGGAAGAAATGGCTGATTAATAAAAGTCATCGACAATGAGAAATTTGATAAATTGAATGTTGGTGTACGTAATTCTATCGCAGCTTCAATACAAATCAAATAATCTAGGGCAAGACATAGATTAAGTAGCGGCCGAAAAAGATTCGGTAGATGTAGTTATAAATAATTTTATTAAAGTTAATACGTTTACTGCGTAATTATTGACTGCGATGGTATTTCGATCAGATAAGTTAGAAAAACCTAAATGTTTATCTCAGATCAATTCGATCCAGTTGATAAAACCCTAAAGCGCTCACTAGTTAAATCTAATAGTAGATATTCATCGATCATTTTTAATGGTTTCCCTGTAGATTGGTATACTTGAAATCGATATTCTCTATTTTGCGGTTCAAGGCTAATCGCGGCAATTGATTGAATTTGCAAAATTTTTTAAAATAATGAACGAGAACTGAGTAAGTAAAATGTAACTAGTGCAATGGGTTATAATACCAATCAAATAATCTACGGCTGGAAGTATAGTAGGCAGCTGTCCTACAGTCGCCGTTATAGGTATTAACATTTTGTGATTTGATAGAAATAAAGGTCAATAAATGAATTAGTCACTTAGTTATATTATCGTTCAAAAAGAATTCAAATGCCACTATTAGGATTAGCCGCTAAAGCATTCTACTTCAGAAACAATTGAGGCATAAACTACTTGAATAATCAATAATTATCTTTTCGCTATAAAATGATCCAACTACTATAGCCTAAAATTCATCAAGACACCATTAGAGATGTAAATTATATTAAATAAAAGATGTAGGAATAGAATAAAATGACTTAATACAAAGCTATATAATGCTGGTATACCAATCTCATGCAATCATCACAGGGAAAATAGAGGTGTTTTAGATCGCAGTAAATTCTTTGTTAAAATTTAACATTAACCACGTTCGTATGCTTTAATTAATTTTTGGCATTCTGGACAGTAATGTTTAATATCTTGAAAGCTATTGCAACAGAACACGATCAGTAAGCCAATTATTCCTCTATAATGATAAAATAATCATAGATAATCCTTTAGCTATTCATATCAATAAGTAATGCATTATACAATAAGAAAGTACAGTAAGTTTGCCTAAAGCTCAGCTATCTTGATTCATAAACTCGGTATCACAGTACATAACGGTAGCGAATGTTACTGCAATGTATTTCTATGCAATTAAGGTATAGTGATGTAGCCATGGTATAACGAATTGGACATGTATCCATATATACGCATATATTTATACATATTTAATACGTAGTGCTACTTTCCAATTAAGATGCAGCACTCTAGTCTAGTATGATATTATATAGATTAATTCATATATAGTTATGGCATAAGCATCATTCAGTTAGATACAATAAGTTGTATAGTAATTTGATGCTTCACCAGTTCAATAAGTTTGTGCTTTAACAAAAAAATAATATAAGAAAAATGATAATAAGGCCCATATGGACAATAAATAATGTTAATTAATAACAGTTTTCCTATATAGAATTCATTGACCAAACAAGAATACTGATACTGAAAAGTGGCGTACTGTAGTAAACTAACCTTATATATGGCCCGATACTTGTTAAAAATCTAAATTTGTAACGTATAAAAATTAAACTACCGCTGAAAATAAAACCCTGCGAGCCTACTGTCAGGTTTGTTCTCCCTTACATTTACCTATTGTACAACTCTCAATACTGACGATCAGCTATCGTTAAGAAGAACAGCAATACCTCTAATCTCTCTTAGATAAAACTGAAGCTAAATTTTATTAAAAAGTCAGTCCATTTAATAGTAAATTTACCTAAACATTAACGATCAGTTTATATGACATTGTACAACTGTGCATTTATCTACTAAAAATATATAAGCCTCATAGATTAATTATTATAAAGACACTCTTAGATAACCTATTTTATGGAAGCTTTGTAGCGACAGCTGTGCAAAATTTACTCGTATAACTCTGTAGAATTGAAATGGTAATACTGCGCTATATAAATATGTCTACAAGTCATTAGCTTAACGGTACTATCGAGACAGCAAGTAGTGCACTACAGAAAAGGTGATTTGTATAAAGCTCAGCTCCCATTTTTTAAAGTTAAGAGTTAAGCTCTGTAGTATAAGATAGATGAGATGTTCATTAATCTGCCTGTGTATTGGCGGTAGTAGTGATTGTTAACTATTTAAAACATTAAGAAAGAAAGTCAGTATTAGAGTGAAACTTACAGAAAGCAGCAACAGAGGGCCGCTGTGGTACAAGTTCCTTCACCAGCCTCATATCGGATCACTGTTTGAATTTGTTGATTGCAAAATGGACAATCCATCGTTTGAGTACTCTCAGCTTCCTCCAGGTTAGAACTAGTAATCCGCTTATAGATGGGATAATTGCCATGTTTAAAAACATGATGCGTTCTACCAGGATCTTCAATATTTACAGACATTTGCCCAATGGCTGATTCAGAATTAGTTGACTGCAGAGGATTGCTACTTGACGGTATATCAACTAAAAGCCAACAATAGCAATTTAACCGTTAATAGCTATGCAGTAAGATAAAATACTATTAATGGCAGTAATTCCAGAGAGCTACATATACTTTCAAGGACAATTAATTGCATATACATATAATTTACTAAAACTTCTCTATAAGAAATATTACGTTGAGAAATGGGTTGAAATAGCACCATAAAATCAGTCAAAAGAACGATGTACATTGCACTGTAGAGTTCTAGAAAGTCTTGCAGGTGCCAGTACAAAGTATAATTGAGGATGATTTACTTAATCTACGATATTACACTAGTGATGCACCCTTAAACATCGATATTCATATATAGAATATTACTATTAGGGCAGATTGTAGCTATTAGTTTTATTACCAGCAAGAATTGATCTACTACAGCCTGCCTTGCCTGAATACTTAATATGCTGCACTCACTCAAGCTCCTTTTGTAGCATACCCTACCAGCATACGAGCATAATGCGAATATAATTATTAAGCCAAATTGCAGCTGTTACTATATAAATTGATTTCTGACACGGTACCCTAATTGATACCTATTTAATGTATCTTTCTAACGATGATAGACAAAATTAAAAGGATAAGGACAGTTGCTGTAAAGCTTTAGTAGGAAAGAAATCTATTGCAATTTTTATACTAAGCTACCATGGTATTTAGATCCATAACTTACAATCATAATGATCAGGCCCATCAACTTGGATAATTACCGACTGAATTCTTATATTACCATCTGATGTAGGCTGATTAGTTCGCTGACTATGAGCAGACAATTGAGAATTGTCAGCAGAGTAACGTGTTTGATTTTCAGTTCGATCTTTATCCTGAATGGATGAAGAAAACCTGAACGGATTGTTGGCTGTTAGGGTAGCGAAAGAGCGTTCAGTAGTGTCTTTCACTGCCACTGACTGCTGATTTGTACTTGCAATAATTTGCTCTCGAGCTTGACCAATATCATTAGCAGTTTCATCTAGATTTTCCGCTCTGATTAATTGAACACATTTATCACTCTTCATATCCTTTTGCTTTACTGGAAAGACCCTTTTCATCCAATTACCAGCATTCATCTTAAGTATATACCAACTTGTTATATTCGATCGATAATTCAACTAGTTTGCATAGAGTTGAATCAATTATTAGCTAGAGATGTTAGAAATATTGAACTCATAGGATCATTTTCTACGAAAAATGTTAAAAAATTTACGATGACTAATAATAACGAGGTACAAATAGAAACTGGTATTATTTTTCCTAGAATGTCCAACATTAAATTTTAAATGAAAGATATCTTAGATAGTAAAGAATCGTTAAGAATTAATATGAATAACAATTTTACAATATTTACATAGTTAAGAAATGGAACTAGAAAGGAATAAACAATGTACAAGACTGAATAACGCGCAGGCATAGTCATAACTGGAACAGTTGCTTTATGCTATATAAGTTATAAACAAGAGGATAGATGATATTTTAATTGAAACATATCTTAGGTAGTAGAGGGTAGGTTAAAAATTAAAAGAAAGTTCATTATAAATAAATTAAATAATACCCAAACAAATTCGCGACTGGAGCAGTCGCTATATGCTGTACAAGCTATAAACCGGTGGATCAATGACATACTGAGTAGCGCATTAAAAATATTCTTCTTCCTTCAAGTTTAACTAAAGCGATAGAATTGACTCACCTTTCAAGAGCAATAAATTTACTGAGTGGAGAAGAACCAGTAATGAAAGAGCTGTAGTAGTTGTATAAAAGCGCTTTTCCTAGGCTCATTAGGGCCATAAATAGAGTAATGAAGTTTGGCATATCAATTTACGTCACGTTATTCCTGAGGAAAGTAATTAGCTAAAAAAGACAAAACTTAGGTTATACTATTAAAATTTGAAGGAGTGTGATGTTACCTTGTTATCCAATAAAATGCAATGCCTAACGACTATTCGATTAGTGTACTTTAATGATTAAAAGATAAGGTGATAAAATAAAAAGTTTGCAGGACAATAGTACAGCCAACATGCAGCCACTGAATAATATTGAAGCTATATGCCGAGTCTATAAACTTCGGCTACTTAATTTACTTTCTGTTCTTTGTTCTTTTACAGTGATAAGAATAATGAATCAGTAGCAATATATAGCCATGGATGCACGGTTACTAATACGCTTGTTTCATTTCGTTCTAGTTCTTATTTAAAGTAGCTCTACGGGGAGGTGTGCAATAAACAGCTGCTTATCATTTTCCGTGGCTTCTAAAGTTAGATACTAGAAATCAATATTTATTTAATAGAGTAGGATCCGATTATCTTAATGCAGTTTATTGAAGATAAAATTTAGTGATAAAAATAGCAAAGAGAAGAAGAACTTTGCCTTTTCTACTTTAGCTTGAAGGGTTCTTGATTTATTAGTCGACAAAGATGAAAAATAGCAAACATTGCCGTCGCTTGACTAATGAGATGATCATAAAATAAATATCTATAATCTAAACACCCTAATAACTTTTAAAGTACCAATTTTTAGTAACTTTCTGTCACATTAATTAAGGTAGATGATGATAGAAGGTATAAAGGATTTTATTGAGATACAAGTTATAGGCTAACAATGATATGGTTGTTATAGATAAGGTATTTGAGATAGCAGGAACGTAGGAACTGACTAACGAGTTAGCGTACAAGGGTATTTATAGGTTTTAGATGAGATTGAGATGATGTCTTTATACGTACAGCATGTCGTCTATATGTGGTCATGATGTCGTACATTATGAATGTAATACAATACAGTACTTAAACGGTATATGATAAGTATTAATACGGGAGGAATGCAGTGATCACTCCTACTAGTGATTTGACATTTTCACATGGTTATCGTTTATATTTTTTAATTAGGCGAAAGCAGCTTGGGCAAAAATGTTCAATATCTTGATATTTTTCGCAGAATAGAGCAATAAGAAAACCAATTAAACCGCTGTATTGAATAAAGAGAAGAAACACAGTTTAGAATGCTTGTTTGCCTATTGAAAACTAGTCTCACTCATCACAATCCAATATTTTTGAAACTTTAGCCAGCGTAAAATACGAACGAAAGATTACCTTCAATTATCACTCTTTTATAAGTAAGGCATCCATAATCTGAATGGATTATCAACGAACATTAAATCAAATTTAATTTTGACTTACAAGAAAAAGCAGCAGAGTGCCGCCATGAGATAGGTTGTATCGCCGGATACATATCGAATTCCAGTGCTAATAGATTTTTGGCAGAACGGACAATCCATCGACTGTGAATGTATTGCCTCTAATTGATTTAGAGTAGTAATTTTCTGAATGATTGGATAAGACAAGCTAATTACAGGTACAACAGGCATCACATGCGACACAGCTATAGGCATTTGACCGAGAGGAACGTTCGTTCCAACTAGAAAATTGAAAGTAGCAATAGATCAGGATCTGTATTTGCTATTAGTATAAATATAAAGCAGTTAGCGGCTTATTACCTGCAGGAGGCTGTTGAGTTGCATCATTAGCTTTGTATGAAGGAGGTGGATTTGTAGGAGGATTGGTCACAGCTGGCGAATATTGAGTATCATATGCTTGCGAAGGAAAGGCGGATGGCTGCAATAGAGCCGTATTTCCTACTGGATTGCTGTAATGGGTCGATTCCGAAGGATCGGAGTAAGTGGCAGATGAAAAGTTTGGAGGCACATTATTGGCTGGATTACTTCCAGTGCTGGGAGTATATTGAAGGCCTGCATTGCTATCGCCAGCAGAAGGCAACTGTCGCCTTTGATCTTCATGATTGGCAGTATTTTTATTTCCACTGCCTCGCCATATATCCATCTTGCACGTTAGTTTTTAGGTCAACGCTTAAATTCCTACTTTAAGTCAATCTCGTAAATATTTTTCCTGAAATGAAATTACATATATATTCATTATCAACGGTGTGTCGCTAAAATGTTGCACCTCAGTATGTCAGGTTACTCGTATGTCCACTATAAAACACCGTCATAGGATTTATAGGCTATATGCAACTATCAACATTATAAATGCAGATATGAAATTACTCGTATCAAGCTATTTTTACCGAGCTAACGTAGCAATCCTTGCAATATGATTATATAACCGTATAGCATGTAGAACTACCATAAGCTCAACATTAAAGCAAAATGAAGGTCTTTAAGAATATTGTTAATAACGCTTATTGATAAGAGTAAAATATGGAATCGTATAGCTACAATGACTGTAATATTAAAGCGAAAATAATATTTTCAATTCGTAATGTTCAAAAGTCCCTGTTGGTGATGAAAGCGTCTCTAGTCTTGTTTGTAAAAGATGAGTCTATCTTTAGATTCAATAAATTTAAATACAGTACTAGAAATCAATGACCACTAAATATATCTCAATTTAATAAAGATCTCACTGATTCACAGTCTTTAAAAGATTAAATAATACTGTAGTTTCGGTAGGCCTAAATTATTTTACTTTATTAAAATGTTGGGCTCTACGTACTAACTTGGCTGCCTTTAATGCACACTAAAATTATTAAGTAAATAAAATTATTAACTTTCTTATTCTAGCTGTTGGCAAGACTTCAATATGATAGACTGATTATATTGGTTTGCATATTAAGTCAGTTAGAGCTTCGAAGCTGATCACGATATACTGTATATTAGATGTTAGGTGCAAAATATACTAAATTTTTATTTTAATTCGATACATAATATATAAGATTACTGGAAGCTATTTTAATTTAAACAAAAGTAAATTAAAGTTAAGTCTAATTTTAGTCTTAAGAACTCTTAGTACCATAGTAACAATTATTTCATATACTTTATTTGTAAAACTTATATATATACAAACTAATTAAAAACACGAGTACTAGTGAAAAGCAATGGATCCTAAATAACTATGGTTTCGATAGAATACGTAGTTTCAATAACATAAAGACATATATGCTAATACAGAAAGATGATTAATTAATTTTTTTAAACCAATTACTATCACCATGGCTTTTAAAGACTTATTCGGAAGAGTTAATAAAGCTAGCCATTTTATCATAGTATTTTGATAGCGTTGATGAACTTAAAAGATAGATGATAAGATGAATAAAAAGTGAGCGTTTGATCGCTATACCGCGGTAAAATATTTTACCGTTATTGTATTGTCATACAAAAATAAAGTGATAAAATAAATTAATTCAATTATTAAGACTAACTCGTAATATTGAACTTATGCTTTAAGATTGTATTTCTTCTTCCATGTATAAAAATAATAGTAACAAATTTTATATTATCAAATTAGCTTGTAAAGTACCGTAGTTTTCCTCAGACTATATCTGCTTCTTTGTATCACTTATTGCGAGCAATATGGTAACGAAGTATAAGAACCTACTGGATATGTTCCTTTAATACATATAAGTTCATAAAACTGACTCACTAAATTGCCCTATCTGTCTCCAGCTCAACTTGATGAAATTAAAGTGGCCGTAATGTTGATAGAATATTACATGCATTTCTACAGTCAACAGCCTGCGAAATTCTATCTCCTTCGTTCTTTTCTAATATCAGCGTAGCATATACCTATGTTGCCGCATTAACCCTACCAACGTTATAAAAATGAAGCTAAGGGTTTAGATATAACATTTTGTAAATAAATGGAAAGCTATAAATATCTACTCCAATTGATCTGTACATGAATTATGATTGCCATCGGATTAATAGTAGAGTTTTTAATTGTAGTAAAGGACTAAAAGTAGAGTCCTTTATAGCTTTTAGTATGTAACTAGTACTATTTTACTATAGAAAATACCTAGAAAGTGATAGTGTCTTTAAGTTTTACCCGGCCAAATCATCATGTCGCCATCTTTTCTTCATTATTTTACAAGGTATTATATAGATTACTATAGAAGGAGCCCTGGAGCAAATGCCTAATCTAAAGAAAGGGCGTTTGATCGTCTATTCAAATTGTAACTAAATTTAACTTAGTAGCAAAACCCTATCCTTAGAGAAAGGAGATTTTATAACATGACGGTAAAGTACAATAATGTAGTCTATCATCGTACAGTTACAGTACAATCTGGCGCTAAAACATCAACTGTCAATACTCAGCGATACTAATGTCAGAAAACTACTTTTAATTTATATCTGAATTATAAATTTTTTTTATTTAAATTTTTGGACTTTTATTCGTGAAAAATATCGTAAGAGTTGATTTTTGAGATTTGGACTTTTTGTTATGAATCTGAAACTTTAGAATTTTATGACGTCATTTGAACTCACATTAGGAGATTTAGTGAGGAAAATAGAAAATAAGATGGAAATTGGCAGAGGTTGTGTTGATTGTTAGGTAGTTAGAATGTTGTTTTTATGACTAAATCTTGATGTTTAAAGGCTGATTTTTAGACTTTTATAGTGTATTAATGATAGAAATTATGTTAGAAATGAAGTTTGATGTATTTTTATAATTAGCTTGTTAGTTTTATAGTGTTTTGTAAGGGAATCGTAGGGTAAATTGTGTCTGAACTTTGAATGATTTTTGTTTTCTTAAATGGTGCAAAGTAGTTTTCTAAAACGGATCTTAAGAGCGATTGGTTAGCAAATGTTTAGTTTTATATACCTCTGACGGCTCTACGAAGCCTATAAATGATAGTGCAATTAGAAAATTTAGGGGGAGAGTAGAAGAAGATTTTATTTGAAGAACTTGTTGTAGTTAAAAGGCCGAATTCGGGGTCGAATTGTCGTAAGTTAAAACGTTCTTCTTTTTTGAAAGGTTGTTTGGTCGTTGACAGTTTTTAAGTCTGTCATTTATTTTAATAATACTTAAAGCTAAGTATTTGTAAGGTTGTTCGGTTTATACTTCTCTCCATTTTTGTTTTGAAATAAATTGTTGTTCGGTTATTTCCCCAAATTTTATTTGGTGTCAAAATATTAGCGTTAAGTCGACCGGAGTGCAACGAAAGTAGAATCAAAGCTTGTTAAAGTTTTGTAGCTTGATCTCTACACTTTTCATTTCATTACATAATGTTTCTCGATTATTGAAATTATATTTTATAATGAAATGTGAGAAAAGAATAACTTATAAGTGCCAATATCGTCAAACTTACAATAATAAGTTTACCTTTTAGCAAAGTTCCCGGAAAATGTTGTTTACTTTCTTTTTTAAAAATTAAGGATTCGTTATTAAGATAGTACCGTGATAGCACTTTATAAGATAGAAACTCATCTAATTCCTTTTTAATCACAAACTTAATGCTATTTCATGTCTATACAGCAATTGCTGTATATTATGGTGGATTTTAGATAGTTTATCCTAATAGCAAATCTATTCCTTGTTAAAATAGCATTCATCCTTACCTATTCTATATGTGTAACTTGATCAAATCCAATAACGCCAAAAATCGCAATGTCAATCCAATAAAATTTACTTATTTATTTAATTAAAAAAGCAGGGGATGATGCTTTTAGTTCTTAAATAGATTGAATGGCTTGCCTAAACCAAAGCATAGCAATGATATAAAATACTATCCCAGAGTTGTCTTAAAACTATTGCATCAATATTAATATTAAAGCTAGTATGTCTAACTTTCGATTACGCCTCTCCTCCAATTTTTGTATCTAGGCAACGCGATCATGAGTTGGGATCATTATCATAAAACAGGCTTCGTGCAGATTTGCTCATACTATTTCCACGTCCTTTTAGTCCTGTAATGTAACTAGTATTGTGATTGTAGGCTGCTAGCCTTGTTTAGTATAATGTACGGTAGATTTTATCTTAAGATATATTTGGTAGCTATAACTATAGACTGTAGTGGTAGAGACTTTATGCTAGAGTACAGATGACTATATACAGTAAGCTGTTGAGTTACTAATATGGCTATAGGTAAAAATAGAACTGTAAATCATATATTAGGATATGGTTAATTCATTGTATTTTGGCTGGTGTCAATAATGTCTACGTGAGTACTGTAGTCGTATCCATATTGGATTAATGATGGTCCGCAGTAGAATAGTCTTACTAAGAATAATTTAACTATGTGTAAAATAAGGTAAAAGGTTGCCATGCGGATTGTAGCTGCGAATGCTACGGAAAGTATAAAAGCATGCAACTTTAGATTATTCTGTTAGTTTATTGTAGAAGTCTTTAGAAGTAGTATTCGGCTAAAGTAGAGCTGCGTAGTTGATCTTTGTATAAGATTCAATAAAGCCCTTATTTTTAAATTATAAGATTCAATAAAGCCCTTAGTTTCTTTGTATAAGAATTCAATAAAGCCCTTATTTTTCTAAAATTTGCAGTTTCGTGATTGGTATATATCACAAGTCCGTGCCTAAGATTCTTAAGAATAATACCGCGATTAATCTATAAATTATCCAAGGGTTATAGGAAAGCCTATGGTACCGCTTTACTTTTATAACTGCTGAGAGATGCCTATCCTATTGCCTTAAGGCCTGTCTGCATCTGCGAATCTATTTTAATAAAATCAGTACCGGTTTATTTCGTTAGATTGATTTCTACCCTGTAAGGTTACCTTGCAAAGCGTAATTACTACCCATGCAATTACTTTTGATTTAATATCCATGAATTATTATTGTCTACCTGCATCATACATAGACAATAAAATTTGGCAATCGAGCAAATATGTTTTAATAGCTGCAATCAATTTCTCCATCATCTATGGTATAAATATATGTATCATTTACTGAATAGGTTATATCTTGCACTTTTTTTATAAAGCATAGCAGAACAATTACCAAGTATTTATTATCTTGTATTTTATTAGGTACCAACAAAGCCAACTAACAAATAATTACTTTTATAGCTGAGATATTTACGTACTCCATAATCATAGCTTTGGTGGTTAATTAAATTCTATTCAGAAGCGATATTTATATTTGCTATTATGAACGTAGTTGTAATTGGCTTTAATTCCTCATAAGATATTCCTTGTGACGTTTGTGATATTTTTAAAATGTTGCTTACAATATTCTATTTAATAGTTAATCTGTAATTTTGTAAGTGAACACTACCTATAGCATTTAAAGCATTCCATATACTGTCGGTATATCCATGTAGCGGAAACCATATGTAAACATTCATTACTATTCAAAGCTTCTTATAATCAAATAGACATTATAGTCAGAAATAAAATTTATCGATTGTGCCTCTGGCTTTATTTCAAATCTTCTTTCCTCTATAAATTCAAAGCACTCTATATACAGCCCGTATATTCAGTTAGAGAAAATCATATATTCACAGTTATTGCTATTCAAGTTTCTAGTAATCAATTAGATACTACAGTCAGAGACATAATTTGTTGATTGAACCTCTGGCTTTATTGCAAGTTTTTCTTTCCACTACTTTATAGTAAATGCATCTATCATTAAGACTACCGTTCTCAAGTTTACCACACCAAATATCCTGAGCTAGGATTTAATTATGGCATATCGAACTAAGTAGGAAATTGTTCATCTATGGGCATGTGAATGGGCTTTAAATTCCATTACAGCACTCAATTGCTTGTTACAAGATACACATATCAGTTTCAGTACGCAATGTTTCACGGAAATATTTCTTATTTTATTTGATACTTATTTTTGCTCTAATATTGTAAAGTGGATAATTTTAACTATGTAGAAATTTTCGTCTACTGGCACGCTAATGGGCTTCAAGTTCCAATGCGTCATTCAATTGCTTACTACAAGACACGTATTGATATCAATTTTAGTAGGCGATGTTGCCCGGGGAATATTTCATATCCAGTATCTTTGCTTTAATGTTGTAATATGAATGAATTTTCCATTTAATGTTCGAGTTGTCGAATGCCTTTAATGTCATTCATCAAAATCAACTTTTCAGAAGATCTATTTCCATCTTAAGATACCATTACAATTTTGAGCTAACAGCTAAAATTATATTGTTTAAGATACAAGCAAGCCATAGCTAGAAATCGTGATGATTCAATCATCCAAACTTAAAAGATAGACAATGTACAATTAACCAATTTGTAATTTCCAGCTCTTTTAACAAGACTATAATCATGTTTATAGTCATGCAGTATCAATTCGCATGAAGTAGATATCAATCAGGAAACCACATTATTCAAAAGTAACTAATATTAGCATGGCAATTTTTTCCCCGTAAGGTACCAATCCCTCAAAATAAGCGCAACCTTATTAGCTATGCCTTGTGCTTTGATCTTTCCAACCTCCTAATCGACCAACATGCAATTCTGGCGAATGATTCATAATCACAATGATATAATACATGTCAATCAAATATTCATCAGTAACATCAATAGCAGAGAATGAATACCAGCTCAAACAAGCTTAACCTAGAAACTGCATAGCCGACATTCTCCGCTAAATGTATCAATACAATGTCAATTAGCTTTCTTGAATAATAATTAGAGGCGATGGCTTATAGCTTTTATTCTAGCCATTCTACACCATTCCGTTATTCGCGAGATCATAATAGGTGTTTAGAATGATTGGTGAAAAAATTTGAATTAATTGATCATGTGATGCTGTCCGTCTAAGCATTAGTGACCGCTATGAGCATATGAGAATTATCACCTTCATAAATCTCAGTAGGATAACCATAGTATAGCAATAGCCATTTCCAATTGACTTTTCTTGTTTGATATTTGTTATTGATCGGCAGCCTTCAGCTTCCTTACTGGTTAATCATCAAGTTAGTGAAGCTTTTGCGGTAGTAAAAAAATTGATTTCATCAACTTCGACTGAAAGTTTGGATCCTATACTCTTTAGCTTAGTCGTCATCATCGAGTCAATTTGAATATTAATTGCCAGGCAGTTCTAGTTTATCCCCTGGAAACTGTCTTAATTTACGTACCTAAAAGTCATATTATCGCTAATTTGTTCCAATAGCTAGGCAAAGCACGCACCTGGAGAGAAATAGTCTTAACCTCGAACATTCTACATTAATCAACGATTGAAAGGTTTGATCCTATTCTATTGAGCCTAGTCATCATCATCAATCCAATTTAAATATTAACTACCGGATACGTTATCGATTATTTTCTGGATACGATTCTAATTACAAGAACAGAAATAATATTATTAATCTGATCCAGTAGTTAGGCAAAGCATGCTTTCATGCAGAAAATGTTAACCTTGGACATTCTACATTATTCAACCCAAACTATAGAATTTACTTCATTGATATCTTCAACATTTTCGATGCCATTTTCTACAAAATATTCAGTCTAAGCTTCTTAAGACTACCACTCTGCTATTCTTTACCTTTCGCCGACTACTCTTATTGCTGAAATCCAAATTGATTGGATGATACGATTTTAGCAAGCAATTCATTTATCACTAGAGCTCCGCACCCTTCAAGTTATTCTAATATTCTCGTACACCTTGGCTTTATTGAAAGACATTTTTTAATTAACTATTTAATAGCAGAAGGTTTCCAATCTCAATAACCATAAATATTATAATATCCATAGAGAATTAATGATGTTATATTCATCATTTCATCAAGATTCTGTTATCAATTAATTAGGCATAATATCAGTTCAGTTTTTCATGCTTTTCAATCATGAACATGCTCTTAAGCCTTAAGTTTTCATCTATCTTGTATATAGAACATAAACCGGTATTTTAATGGACTGACTACTATAGAAGTCTTTTACAACTAAAATCATCGTCAGATCGATAGAAAATCCATAGAAAATTGAGGATACCGGTACTTTATCTATTCGCTCATGAAAATTTTATCATTTAACAAGTAGACATTGTAACATTTCGACTCTTGGAATTTACTGATCTTCAATAGTAGGTTCTCGTATCGAATTATTAACGAGGCTATTTCTTAGTGATCAAAGATTAAATATTCTCCGTGTTAAAATGTCTATCAATCAAAAGTAATTACTATCTAGGAGACATATTTATCGGTAATAAAGAAACCTTCATCACTATTTTACTTTACCCCTATCTAGTGTTTAACAAAGAGATCAAAGTTAAGCATTTAGGATTAATTGATTTAAACTGCCCAACACACCATTTAGTTCAACATGGGAGACTCTATTCCACCTAACATGAAAGCTCTCAGACAAGAAGGTATTGACTTATACCTCAAAAAGGACTTTACCCAAGCTAGATTGAAATTTCAACTAATCTTTGAAGAAATGAAAGTACTCGAGAATCAAGTCGATCTTGCTCAATTTCGACACAGCTTAAATTTAGACTTAGCTGATACCTGTGTCCAACTAGAACAATATCAGCAAGCCTTTGAATACGCTGAAACAGCAACTAGAATAGGCAACAGTTTACAAGACCAAGTTCGAATCGCCGAAGGTTTAGACAAACAAGGAGAAGTTAAGCAAAAGCTAAAGCGCAGCCATGAAGATATTTTAAGTGATTTAATGAAATCTTTACAGCTAAAATCAAAAGTAAAAGAATGTGATGGTTTGAAATTGGCTCGAACCTATGATCTTCTTGGCGTAGAAAATCAAAAAAATGGTAAATTTAAGGAAGCTTTATTGATGTTTGAAAGATCCCTAAACGCGAAATTAAATGCAATAGGCTGTGATAGCGAGGAAGTTGGCGACTCTTATGCCCTTATTGGACATATTTGCGACGATCTCGGTAAATATCTAAGTAGTGACGGAATGTATCGGTTAGCACTTGGTATTTATGCTACCATATTTCCAGAACATCATCCTAAAACGATCTCGGCCTATGATGGTGTAATTAATGCTCGAGTAAAATTGAGAAAATTTGACGATGCTCTTGAACTAAAACAAACTGTCGATAAACTACGCCAAAAAGCACGGAAAAGTAACGACTGCTTTGATATTCCATCATTATATTCCTTATACCCCTTGTCCCAAGCATCGCCATCAAAACCCTCCAGTTGTAAAGCAAAAGGTTTCTGTAATGCTATATTGTGAACATAGATATAAAGTGATTAAGTTGTTCATTCTTGAACTTAGAAAGAAATTAAGTAAATTTTTTCACCTTGAATTCTTAGGATCAATCATAGGAGAGATAATACGCTATAATACTGATGGAGTTGGTAAGTCATGGATAGGAAAATAGCCTTAACTTTTCAATCGCTGCTAGGGATAATTGGAGTAGTTCTTTCTCCAAGAAGTTCCATGCCAAGTATTGGACCACATTTTGTTGGTCGATAGCAATTATTTTAACTATAGATTATGCTCACAGCTTTAATTATCAAAGGGTAAATACTCGACTACTATTATTTTTGATTTAGTACCTGTACCCCTCATTCCGCAGCAACATGGTGGTGTTATGATCCATCCGAAATTTGGAGAAATTACAGGTAATACTTCGTAACTATCTTTGTTCATCGGTAGTACTAGCCTCTACCGATTGATCTAGTTACGATGGGCCACTAGCTCTGTATCTGCTTAACCATAACTTCCACAGCCCACCTATAATTCATAAAAAAGTCGAGAGTCAATTTAGAGCTTGATGATGCTTACTATGTATTATAGATAAGTACAATGTTATTAAACTAGTTAAGTATCTAAGTGCTACCCAACACATTGCTGTAGAAAGAAATTACATCTGATTATATATGCTATCTTTAAATACGAATCAATCTATAGAACGCTATATCAGGCTAAAGTGGTATATCTAAATAAGATCATAGCGTGTTTTTATCATAATTACCGCAGAGAAATATTTCTACATTACGGCAAAATGATTATTAAATAATTGATTACCTTGTCAATATTCAATTATTGTAGGCTTCTTTCATACGAAATATTTCTTGTCCTATTGGGCCTATTTACACGAAGGAAATTGCCGGTCTGATGGTATGCGAATAATGTTATTAGGTTCTCAAAGTGCGGGGAAATCTTTCATTGCCAAGTTATTATCTCAAGATGAAATCATGAAAGATATCCTTTCACAGACTCCAAGAGTTACGTTTTATAACATGGCTAATATTGCTGGTTATTACCCCTGTGAACATGAAATAAGGAAAGATTATCGTCGAGAATTAGACAAGAAAACAATTACTGGAATGGAGTTAATTCAACAAAGTGCTAAATTGGAAAGCATACGAACAGCTTTGGTGAAAAAAGCCAATCCAGATGCAAAAAATGGCTTCGTTGTATGGGATCCTAATGATGAAGAAAAATATAAAGATTCAAAAGCAGATGCAGAATTACATAATCAAATACAAAGTCGCATTAATGCTATCCGCCAGCAATATGTTACTGTATGGCATTTCGGTTGGCGAGCACATCAATATTTGAGTCATCAGCCATTTATGCCCGTCAATGGTATTTACATTCTTGTTTTTAATCTAGCTCAAGAGATGGATGAAGAAGTACAGACAAGAGATGGTTACCCAACCAGCATGACCTATCGAAGTGTAATGCGAGAATGGGTATTTTCGATCGTTGATGGTTACCCAACGAAGAAAAGAATTAACGTTAAAATAGGTGTTACTCATCATCAGTTAGCCCTACCGATCATCTTACTGGTAGCATCTCATGGCGATCTCATTGAAAATCAAGATATACGAAGGCATCATTTTAAACAATTTAAATCCAATTTACTCTCCATTTTACCATCCGATTATAAGCAACATATTTTCTCAACAGATATCATCTTTAATTGCAATCCAGACGACAAGAGCCAGAATGCAATACAAGAACGTCAACAATGTTGTCACCAGTTGCATAAATTTATTACAGTAATTGCAAACTGTCTCCCTTTCATCACTAATCCTGTACCCATTCGATGGTATATTACAGCAGCAATATTGCGTCTGGCACAAGATGATAATGTTTCATCATCAAGGCCGGGTGGTAATCAGTTTCATGGCGAGGAAGTCAATAAAATTATGTTACTTTCCCAAGTGTGCGATATGGTTAAAAATTATGGAATCTATTTCGGTGAAGAAGATGTCCAAAATATGTTACTCTATTTACATGATATTGGAATAATCCTGTATTACCCCAATGGTGACGATGGTATAGTGATCACTGCGATCGATTGGTATTTAGGAATACTTCGTGCATTTATAATACTAGATGGCCACCGAGCTCAAAATTTAACCATTAAGCGATGTTTTTACAACGCACGCCAGGCTGGAATCTTGGAAGAAAATTGCATTGATAGTGTTGTGGTCCGATTTGGTGCAGCCATTTTCAAAGAGCTCATCATTAAATCCATGGAAATGGCTGATATTATTTGCGAAATTAAAAATCCTGATTGCAAAGACGACCAAAGAAGATATTTTGCACCCCAATTATTAGATGTTCAAGCTCACGATTTTAATTTAAGTCGCTATCAAGTCTCAGAATGGCTTTATGTTGGTTATGATTCGCAAGATATTACCTACCTTGCAGATGGTGTTTATGACTGTTTCTTGACAAAATTTGTAAAAGAATGGAAAAATGTTGACGTAGAACTGCGTGATCGTTGCGCTAAATTCTATCTCCAAGATGATCGCTATTTCATTTTGATAAAGAAACAGGATTGCCATATTGCTTTACGCTATTTCTATGAACCATCTAAGCCATCATCGACAAATCAGCTGGATGAGATTAAGTTGGCGATTTCTGAAAAGCGTCCGCAAAATTTCATAAGAGAGAAATTAGAGGCAGCTGCTAAGCAAAGAATTTATAGATTACGACAATATAAATGTCAGTTCTACCTTAAATGTAATTTATGTCAAAAACTCAATTGCCTAGGCAATAAAAGTCAACAGCAAGAGATTTCAAAAGATGGAAGATGCTCAAGTTGCAAAATGCAATTTAATTGCCAGTCTTTGATAGATTGGAGTATGTGTAACTAAATTGACAATTCCATTTCTGATTTGAACTGTACATCATTTACTCTCTGATATTAATATCTTCGATAAGCAATATGATTCGATCCCTATATTTCTCATATCCAGCAATATGTAGATACTTTACACATTACTGTCATATGAGCAATAACTTTAAATCTCTAAATAGATCACAGCTAGCTACAGTTAGCTGGCTAATATATCTTTATCTTTCAAGTACGTATAAAAATGATGTCAAAAATTACTGTACAAGAGATTAATTATAGTTTTATAATAATGATTGATAAAAATTTCATGATTTTGAAACGTAAGGTTAAGTTAATGTACACATGGCACTATGCCATATACGTTTCTCTTAAATATTGCAATTTACAATTGTATAGTTAAAAGATGTAGGCTGAAGAGATCGCATTTGCTATTTCTCTTTTAAAGCTACATGAAGACCGATATATAAATTCTACGATGATAAATATCCAATAAACTGCTTAGCTAATATTTGTACCGATCATATTATAATTATTATTGGAGGTGGCTACTGCAGAATAAGACTATATGATCATAGTTGATTAAAAATCTTAGAAATTTAAAACAAGAGCAATTAAATCCACCCTCTAACATGATGCGTTTAGAATTCCTTAAATATGTATTTTAAGAATAGTTATACTGAAAAGCTTTAACGTCAACGAAGATGACCGTTATTGATTAAAACTCAAAAATTTTTAAAAACGATTTAACGTTAAACTATTCCTATAAATCTCCCATCAAATATATTGTACCACTTTGTCATTTATATACTGTATAAAGATTATTGCATAGAAACTATCCAAGTAACTTGTTACTTCAATATTATGCTACATGGACATCGATATGTCTTCTACATAGCTAAAATATGATAAACACTTACATTAATATTTCGCCCAAGCTTTTGGCATTCTTAGCACTATGATAGTCGTGATTTCTCTATCCATATTATTAAACTATAATACTAATAGTCTGGTATTTATAACCAAGTTCAGTTAGTCACTTTGCTCATCGCTTGTAATCAAAATTTTATGCTTTAATTTTAAGCTGCATTGTTTAGAATATGGCTCAAAATTTTATAGAACGCAAGAATTCAGGAAATACCAGCATTCGATTAGATAACTGACGTGGATTGGATAGCAATAGAGCAAAAATTTTATTTGCAAGATGTTAACCTGATATTTTGATTTCATGGTCTATTAATAACTTTTATTTTATAAATCTCAATTCGGTATAATTGCTAATTTACGATAATTCTTACATAAGTAGTAATGCCAGTAGTATGTAGAATTAGTATTATAATAATTGATTAATATGACTAACTACGGAGAAGAACATACTCGAAAGATTTTTATTGCTGTAGTATGATAGCGGACTTATTGAAATAAATCATAATTTGAATCTAGCAGTTTTCTTCATTAGTTACTACCTAAAGCTTTAGACTCTTTAATTATCCTAGTAAATTAATTGCTATGGTAAAACGACTTAGAATATCGTAATGGTAGTCTTGTAGCTGATAATGAACAAAAAGAAGCGTACTCTATAACGGTCAAAACCGTAACTCTATGAAAGTCTAGCACTTTCCTTTAAGAATAGGATAGCTAAAGGAAGTCATTTTAGTGATATTCCTTAAGTTTAAAGTAAAATAAATGTAGTATTGAATGCAATGCAATTTATCTAGGATATCTATCCGATAATTACTGATAAAAGCCTAATACTTTCCTTTAAGAAAGGATAGTGAAAAGGAATCATTTCATAGATATTTCTTCCGTATGACGTAAAGTAAACACAGTATTTAAATTCACGATATACGGTACGAAATACCTAATGATGGAGAATTTTTTCAAATTCATATACATCTATCAAGGTTATTGATTTCGAAATGTCCGAAATACGAAAGGAATCGGAATTTTTATATCGTAAACCTAATATAACATTACAAATCGTGCATATAGTAATAGATTAAGTAAATTACGAATGATGAATACCGATTTAAAACAAATTACTATTAGGAATTGATCCAATATGAAATAATGATCGCCGCGGGTATTCCGTTTTCATGTAATAGTATAGCTAAGATAAAGGCCATATGATGATTAATTGCCTTTATTGCGTGTAAAGGCCGGAAAGCAGTTTATTATGGACAACAGAATATTGAATCGAGTTTTGGATTAAGTCTTATACTTATATGCTATCCTAATTTTTTAATTAGGAAAGTAGGGCTTAACTTTGCACTCTGAAATTATATCTGAGGTTTAAAGGAAAATGTCGTGGCAATGTCTCTTGTCATAAAATAAGTAAAATTTCATATTAAATGATATTCATCCTAGGAAATTAGAAGATACTGCTGATATGCCGATACATGTTGAATACTTTTAATTTATCTTGAATTAGATTACATCAAGTTGTATGCTCAGATAATTCGGGATAACTAGATAGAAATTTACCACATCAGGTAGTACTATAGGCGTCTACTCATACATTGGAATAGTCACAATCTATCCATGATTAAGCGATATAAGCAATATACTGGTAAGTATATATTGATTCAACATATTAGATGACACCAATCGCATTGGAATATTAGCTGATACTGTAGGCTTATATATATATATTGCAGCCATTGTATCTAGGATTGGATTGTATAGTGACATAGATGATATATGATACCTGTATACTAATTTATTAGAGAGGAACTTAATACTTATCATAGCTGCAAATGGATCTTATCTGTTATTCTCTTTTCTCTGATCATTAAAGTCATGTAGTTAATTAATAAGAACTCGTCACGTTAGTTTATAGGAATATTTTTAAGAATTACGGTAATCTACAATGAAGACAAAACCCGATGCTAGTCTATCGGGGCAAGAATCTATAGTCTTAGTTGATGAGTAAAACTAATAGCGAACTTTATAATTAAAGATCTTAAAGACTATGCCGTACGATAGCAGTTTCTTCTCATTTGCGTAGATCATCAACTAGGGCTGTAAACCAATTCTTGCACTACAGAAAAATAACCTACAGTATGCTACAGTGTGAAGTACCTCAAAGTTGCCGTCCATAATCAAACTAATATATCAAGATTGTTACAGCTAACAATAAATCGTTTAAAGTAAGTCAATCAGTTGCGGAGTGACTTTTATCCACCAGAAATTTTATATAAACTCTTTACTAGCCGGTATTTACATTCTTTGAAATAGATTTTGCTATTTTTACGTATATACTTAATATTGCAGGCTAATTTACCGACTAATTTGCCAAAAGTAACAACTATTTGAGGAAAACGCTAAGTGAGAATTGTATTGTTTGAAGGCGTAATTATCCATAATAAGAAGGTAGCATCCAGGTGGAAATAAGAGCATTTATGCATAAAATTACAATAGTTAAGGCTATTTATTATTATGAGAAGTTTTTCATGGTGTTTTATTATTTAATCGCTACTACTAGCGTGTTCTATTAGAGATTTATTAGCAGCTGCATATTTGATGGTCTATATCATTTACGTTATGATTAGCTAGAGACTTATTGTTTATGGACAATAATATTCAATTTTTCAATATAGTATGAAATAGCATCAGGATGATGTTGATAATTTAAATGCAACTAAAAAAGTAGATGAAATTCTTTATAATGATTAATGATAAAATCTAGCTAAAAGTTGTTCAAAGTTTTCTACACAATAGTTAAAATGTTAAAAAAACTAAATGACAGGGCTGGTTGAGTAATGACCTGAATACATGTTGGAATGAAATCGCATAAAGCTTGATAACTTAGCTCTCATAGCTATTTTATATCGCGTGAAAGATGAAGTTTATAGATATTTCAACCATTTTAAATCAATTTCAGATTTAAATAATCTATCAATGTATATAATGCCGAGTAATAATATAGTGTAATCGTATTTGTATTCAAATTGCATATGCTATTAATTATATCAAACATCTACACCTATCAATGTTCGTATACAGGTAACAGTTACATACGTATATATACATTACCTTATTTATTAAGAGAAAAACGTGTTTAAAAATGCTATTATCATATATCTTTATAAAATCTTGTCAAGAATTTACTTTTAAACATAGGTATCATCGATGAGAATTATTACCTATGTAGGCCGAAGTAGATAAAATATATCAAATAATATTAATTTATTGATCTATGCATTATTTCTTGATAATTTTTACTTAAGCCAAGATTTTAAAAATTTTATATATTCCAAACAAAAGTAGACCATCCGTCAATTCTATAAACCATATCAAGTTGAATATTTATGATATCTTTGAGCGGAAATGATCAGGTATAGATGCTAAAAGTGGACAAAATATATTAATAAATACATCATTAAAATATTTTTGGTCCAGGGCATTTCTGTGGAAAGCCTTGAATATCGGCCATGCTAAGCAGCTGAATATTATAAAATTACAAAATGCTATAAGATGAATTGTATCTTTTGTATAATATATACAGTATATCGTAAATATCAAAGATTATCATAACTAATGTAGAAATAAAGTTATAAGTGCTATATCGAAGTGTAACTTACGATACGAACTTAATACTAACCTGTGTTTATCGACGCTTATGAAGTGAACTGGTTATCGTCGGCATATCTTAAGAGTGTGGCGGCAGTGCGGGCATATGTGTTTAATATCATATAATTGCCGGCAACAAAATGGAATAAAGCAACAGATAATACCTCTACAATGTAAAGATCATTCAATAAAGAAGTTAACGGATACGATGTAACCAAGATTTATCAATTACACTTTTAGAATAGCTTTTATATATCGTTTCAAAAATCGTAATCAATCCGGTTTTTGCTTAAGTTAATTTACCATAAAGATAGAAATATTAATAGAAACTACGCTAGAATATTACTTGACTACTTCAGTGCATTATTCCGCTTCGCTAATTCACTTTGATTCATGATAATTTATTGGAATATACAGTAATTCATTCGTTAAGTTACATTAGTTGGCGATTTCTCTTGATACTACGGTACAACAGTTTGTTGCACTAAATAGTTAGCTTGTCATACTAATATGTCTATATATGAATCCAGTTGATCTATGGTAGTAATAATTAAAATACTACTTATAATTATGTAAATCTATCTACTACCCTATCTGATATTTATGATACTGTATTAATTTTCTCAATATAAGCCTTTATTGCTCTTGTAGATTGGGCTTACCCTATAACACAGCAAGTTGTTGCTGTTAAATAAGTTGCAACACCAGGCGTATATTGAATTTCGGTACAAACAGTTTTACGACAATATGGACATAACATATCGATTGGTGAGTCAATATATATGGTGCTAGCCATAAAATCATCTTGGCAGTCTGTGTCAGATAGTAATGTTGGTTGGCGATCCGGTATAGTTTGGTAGCTATCGTCATCATAACGCGGTGGCGGATCATATAACCCTGTACTTAGCATAGGAATCGTTTCTGGATTTCTAGATGAGTTCGATTGATTGACTTGGTAAAGTGGGGGAAATTCGCCGCCATATTTATTGTATTCTGGCAATCCTGCAGGATCTTGGCCAGCCCCTGGCTGGACATCATAAGGTGGCAGCTCCATGTCACTTGATGATGGATGAGCTGGTTGAATTATATTTTTAATGTTGATATTAAAAATCAATTATTGCAATTAAGAAACGTAAAGATGGCCAGTTACGAAGGTATTTGAAAGTGTTAGCGAATGCTCGTTTGATATGATATTGTATGCAAATCTAGAGTATAGCTATCTAGATATTAATTTAGTCCATGATTTAGTAAATCTATGTAAGAATTATAGACAATGCGCAAGTAAGTAAAAGAAAAATGGTGTATTTTGTATCGAGTTTTCTATTTAGATAGTCTAATATTGAGATGTGCTAGAATTATCGATTCATGTTGATGCAGTTCATATGAGATAGCGAATAGAGGAGTAAAATATTGGGTTGTTGATCAATCTAAACGCCATAGGAATAAATTGAAGCAATATCAACACCGTAAGAATAAAACGAAGAATGCATAGAGTAATATTAAAGTTTAGGTAAAAGCGAAGCTCAAGTATTTAAGCTCAAATATAATTAATTGTATAGTATATCTACATATGGCAGAATAAACTAACATGCTTTATGTTAAGTGTTAATATTGAAGCGAATCTATAACTATGTAAAGCTTCTCTAGTATGTTTTGCTTATTATCAGCTACTGTAATCTTGAATCGATTTATTACCGTAGCAAATATCAGCGATTATCATAAAAATGATATAACTTTACCCAGTTAGCTTAGAAATAGAATAGAACTTACATTCAGCACCAATTGATCCATCTCCCTCAGTGGTTTGTGACCGTCTGCTTCCTGTCTCTGAAGATGTTGACGGACTTGCACTTTGCTGATCGCAATTGGTAATAGGTTGAAGATGCAAACAAGCAGGCTGAGAATCAGTTATATTTTCCTCTTGGTTGCTGTCGTTAGTTAATGTTGATAGATGATCATCAGACGGGGCTTCTAATCGTGGGTGATCTTCTTCAATCGCGCTGTCAACCGATTGCTGATGGAGATTCTTGTTATCGATACAATTGAATTCAGTACAGTCGCTATTATTTGTATCATTGCTGTGATTTTGATTTGGACAGTTACCAATATTCTTTACTATATTATCGGAAGGTAAATCAGTGGCATTCGTTTCTTCAAGTTCTACTGTTGTTGTATTACCTGTCGCTGTAGCCATCATTCCATCAGTTCTTTTTTAAGCCCTTGAATTTATATTTTGAATTATACCGATGGCCAGTATGTAAAATACCGAGGTAGATATTCTATTCTTAAAAGCAAAGAGGCTAGGATTACTCATAAATTAAATGCTCCTACTAATTCAATTATTGTTATTGGTGATCTCTCAAATACAATGTTTTATCCATGAATAACATGAAGAATAAGGTCTCCTATTAAAACGATGAATTTCAGTAATTTAATTATGCAAAAAAGACTACTTTTGTTTTTTGGACATTCACATGCTCTTTATAATCTCGTGATATACGTACATTACCTCCGATTAACAAAAACATGGAAGATATAAAAATCTTATATTGCATTGTATTAATTACGCCGGTTTTGATTATATTATTTATTGCGACATTTTACAACAGCGAGTGTACTTACTAACTTCTTAGGTCAGATTAGCGATCACCAAGGGAGTGCTTATAAATTGGATAAGTCTCTTTTTATCAACGATTATATTAGAAATAGAATTTTCGATGGCTTTATAGGATATTATAGTCCTCTAGTTTAAAGCAATAAGGTTTACTAAGTATTATACTACAAATAGAATTTGATAAAACATTGAAGATCTTGATGATGACATCATCAATATAAAGCTGTTGAATTAGCACATGCAGTGATTGGTACGCTTGTTGCAGTAGCCATATGGTATAATGAGTTAAAATATTACTATTATATATTTCAGTGGGTAGAAGAATTAAGGTCAAAACAAACAATCCAATGTTTTTTATTTTTTACCACAAAATCTGACCTGGCATAGAGAACTAATTAAGCCTAACGTAAATCCAATCGAATTCGATTGCAGAAATATCTACCTATAGGTCTATAACAAATACTCTCATATCTAAGACTTTGATCAGCCCAATACGTTTCAGCAATAAATATAAGCGAAAACTATTATTGGCTTAATACGAATGATTGTGACCAGAAATTATTCTACTGTACGTCTATACTAGTCAATGCAATATACGTACCGTGCGATAATTTACAACTCTTCAACAGTATCAAACTATAGAGAAATTAAGATTTTACTTAGAATTGTCTTGAATAATGCTTGTAGATACATTTAAGAAATAACTATTTAATCCAACTTTTTAACCCCTTGATACTATGTTAAGAAGCCCTACAACCCTTAGTTGAACTGATATATTGAAGTTCATCATTAAACAAAGTTTTGATTTACTGAATTGGCGTTCATTGATGTATACGCTACCCCCAATAATTTTGAGCTAAGCGTCTAAAGTGAGCTGTTACTTTCTTAATTTATGGAATAGAAACGATTGCTAACATTTACCTATTTACAAATTGACCCTATTTCCTAACTAAAGAGACTGTTAGTATTCCAATTACTATCACGAAAGATCGCAGATATCATGACTGGTATCGTTTAAGAGCAAAATCACAACATTATGTTCTATAATATAATAACGTCAATTTTTTCTCTGAGTAAATTCCTTAAGAACTCGCAATATTAATGGTTAGTCCGAGGTTTGATACTGTTAATGGTCTCAAAGGTCTCCCAGTCAATGATACTGTCTGTCGTGTACGGCATTTTATTTCTAGATCTGAAATTGGTTATTTTATTGAGGTTTACGATCATAATTTGAAGGAAGGACATATACATTTATCAAAGTTTTAAGTATACAACTTTGTGAGCCATAGAATACAGTCTTGTTTTATAGTATTTTATACAGTAAATAATGATACAAGCATCAAGGGGGAACGTGATACCAGTTTATCGAGAAAAATATAAGGTAAATATATCGACGCTACAGATTGAGGCTCATATGGAAGTCAAATTAATGTCTTTACAAGTTAACAGTGTAGATAATTACTTCCTTGTAATAGAGATATCCATATCAGACAGTAGAATAACATGATTTAAAATAGCAACTATCATTAAAAATTAGATGGCCTAATTGTTGTCCAAAATGATGGTGAAAAACATAACAACTTTACAGAATTATAAATAACCATTTAACGAGATCGGGATCGCGAGCGGGAAGATTTTCTACGTCCATGATGACCGTTATCTCGATGACGCCTAGATCTATCAGGGGAGGAAGAAGCAGATCGAGAGTGTCTACGACGTGGAGAGGCCGAGTGTTTACGGCGTCTAGGTTAAATTAAGATTGAAATAATTGATGATAAAGTGTATATCAACTAAAACGATGTATACATACGAACAGTACGACTTGAAGAGTTAAGGTTAAAAGTCATTAAAATTAGGAAAGATGAATCCGTATGCCACTATTTTACCTCCTTCGTGGAGAACGTGAACGTCTCCGAGGGCTCCGGGACGACGATTTTCTTTTAGGGCTATATGAATGAGATCTCCTTCGTGGGCTACGTGATCGCGATCTCCTTCTCGGACTGCGTGATCGAGATCTCCTTCTTGGACTGCGTGATCGAGATCTCCTTCTTGGACTGCGAGATCGATCCCCTTGGACTGCGTGATCGTCTCCTTCTCGGACTGCGTGATCGAGATCTTCTTCTAGGGCTACGAGATCGAGATCTTCTCCTAGGACTACGAGACCTTCTTCTTGGGCTTCTAGAACTGCGTCTAATTAAGGAGAAAGTAATGATAAAAATTCATCAGGATTCTATCACGAACGATATGAGAATACATTGTACAGGAATTGTCCAATAGATTATACTGGTCTAACAAAATTTACTCGCTAGCTTGTCGTGATTACAATAGGACTCTTTTTTCACTGGTAGTCCCTCTACCAATATTCTAATTAGTCTAGCTTTTTTTATATTCATTATGGAAGGAGATAACTCGAGAGTAGAAGCTTAATGATAGCTACCAGTAAGGTAAGATCGAACGAGAATGTTACCGAGGGGAGAAAAGAGCAATAGAGAGTGCGAAGATGTGTACTGCACAATAATTTATCGATAGTGTGTACGCAGTAGTGCGAAACTTAGAGGGTATTATCATCGCCTATTACAATAATACCTTATTTTAATAGTTGATGGTATTATACATAAGATGCAAATACTCTATACGTATATTGTATAATAGAATACAAATATTTTATACGCAGCTCATAAAGGCACCGTCCAGCAGTTATCATCTATTCAAATCAAGTTTTGCTAATAATACGTAATATAGACTACAATTGTCGTAATATTACAATAGTGATAATAACCAAAATTGGTCAAAGTAGAATTTCTAATTATTTCTACAATGTGGATATGTACTGAAGAATTTTATCATAATTTACTGAAAGCACGTTTCTTAATCGTAGTTTTCGTCAAAGATGCTGATAAGAACTTCAGTTGCCGCTAATAGAACAGTTATTTTTACATCGAATAGTATAAAAGAATACTTAGTTTACCTCCTTCTTGGTGATTTGCTGCGCCTCGAGTGTTTATCCCGATCCCGAGATCTACTACGACGTCTAGAATGCTTTACCTATTAATAAGGTTTTCAATATTTACTTCTTAACTTAATGAAAAATTGGCTGCGGCCCTGCATTAACTTAGAAGCGACAATTATATAACACGTTATAGTAGAGTACGCTAGGGACGCATGTATTCTATAACAAGGTAAGATTGCATTACAGGCTCTTCTTCTTCAGATTCTGACTGTTCATCCGATTCAATATCGATGTCCTCATCTAAGGCACTAACCTACATTATGACGATTAGCAAAGAGTATACGTGTAAGATAAATACGAAAGTTTACTCTACATCAAGCGATTATTCCTTATAACATAGTTTAATGAATTGGACTCACTCTTGGTTCTAGCTGATTAGTTTGTTCTAAGATATAACGTTTCTGTAATGGCATCAAAATATTGTGAGATTTATATCGTAAAGGGGTCTACTATAAATCGGCTCATTTCAAATACAATAGTAAGCACTCAATTGCAAAATTAATTTTTACCTGAATGCGTGGTAGGATTGTATCGCATGCACGATCTTCAGTGAGTAATTCTTCTACAAATTCATCCATATGAATAACTTGAAATTCTAGGAAATATACCGTTCAATGACATGATGAATTAGTATACCATGATAAGCTAGTGCATTTTACAATTTCATGCAATAGGACAAAGTTAGTCATGGGCATAAGTAAATTTATCTTACGTCCTGATCTCTGTTTTCGTTTTAATTTTCTAAAATCGTTGTATAACGGTTCTAGATAGTTGTAACAGTCATTGGAAGTGCCAACCAATCTCATGTAAATCGCCCCTAAAGCACGCACGTACCTATCATGAAGAAGAAAGTACAGTATGTTGATAGCAATAGAGTAGTGCATCCTGAGTACTATTGAATGTTGTTAGTGTTGGCCACAACATAACGCTAAGCCCTATATCGTTAACATAAGACTGGGCATAGTCGTCGATTAACGATATTGCAATCAAATTGCATATTGTACGCAGCTGTAAGAACGTTTAACAATGAGTGAAATGTTTGTAGCCTATCATGAATAATGTCATGCAACTTGTCAACTTGATGAAAAATTGTAGCACCCCATTAAATTGATGAATAAAAACTAGTGTAATACTATTACAAGTAGGGGAGAGGCATTTTTCAACGGCTATACAATACTAACATGAATTAAAAATTGGTCATTGCAAGTAGATATGATTACAGTAATAATAAATAGCGTATTATGAGTGATTACAAATACAGACTACAAAAATTGACTGGTAAGTGCTCTTACTTGTAATCTTCGTTCTTAATGAATTCGACTATGATATCTTTTTCAGGTTGAATTTGTAACATCTTTAAGATTAAACATAGAAATGGCGTCGGTTTGATATTACCACCAAATGTACCACCAATATGATCTAATTCCATTGCTCTATCAACCAAAAGCTCAGCTAGATATAATAGTCAAAGCATGGAATGGAATCAATATGACATCCATATCACCTTGAATTTATTGCAAAAGATTTGTGACATTGTAAAGCAATGGAGGTCATGATTTTATCTTATGTTACACGTTCTACGTGACATTTTAAGGTTCCAAAGTATTTGCAATGCTTAGTAATAGGCATCAAAAGATACTTTCCACGTTGAGGGACAATGTTACTGTTGTCTACCTGCATTCTCCTGTGCTGCAATTTACTGTTACTGATGCTGTTTCCACTGTTTTGGATAGCTCATTCATGACACACGCATATCCCATGTTGGATGGATTTAGAATTGATTTAAAAAGAATTGAACCTACCCGTGACGGCGAAGCACTTTTCCTTCCAGTATTTGCATTCATAGATTCGAGATCTTGTAATTTTTTCAACAAGATATTGAGGATTGGTTCCCTTTACTGTGACAGCGTCTTTCGCTGTCCGATTCGCCATATTGGCTTAACTTGATAGGGGATAGCCAACGATGTTGCATGGATTGTCTGGCTTGAGTTGAGTACAGTACACTGTCCTTTACAGTACAATATTATACTGTACACTGTAGTCTGTACAGTACAGTCCATGGATGGCTACCGTACTCGTACTGTACTGTATACTGTACAGTACTGTACGAACACCCGCACTGGAACGGAACGGAAAGAGAGTGCGTCGTTAGTGACTCGTTACTGGTCGATAAACGTGCCTGCGTCATGGAGATTTTTTGAAGTGTACACACTACACAGTACACAGTACTGTAAAATACAGTAGGACAATATGAAGTACTGTACACTGTAAACAGTACAGTGTACAGTACAGTACAGTCCATGGATGGCTACGCCGCTACCGTACTCGTACTGTACACTGTACAGTACTGTACGAACACTGCTCTGGATCGGGACGGAAAGAGAGTGCGTCGTTACTGGTCGATGGGAACGTGCTTGCGTCATGGAGATTTTCTGAACTGTACAGTACTGTAAAATAGCCAGGTCTAAAAATAGGACAATATGAAAAAAATATACTGTACAGTACAGTATACAGTATACAGTACAATATGTACAGTATATGTACTGTATATTATATGGAGTACAGTACTGTACAGTACAGTACAGTATACAGTACATTGCAGTACTGTAGAAAATGTGTCCTTTACAGTACAGTACAGTACAGTACAGTACTGTACACTGTACAGCATGCTTGATTGAGAGTACAGTACTGTACTGTACAGTACAGTAGTTTCGCACAGTACAGTACAGTGTACTGTACAGTACTGTACTGTACACTGTGATTGTGCATCAGCCCTGATCATTTTCATCTACTGTACAGTACAGTACTGTACACTCTATGCGTGTCCATCGGTCCAATCCTATCCGTAAAGTTGAAAGCAGCGACTTGCAGTACCACACAGGAAACTGCATGATAGCTTTTGTTTTGTATAGGCAGTAGAGCTGTACTAGACCATGCCAATAGAGGCGTTCAGTAAAGGGTAAACTTAGCATCGGCCAACACGCTGTCAACAGTTTGCTACTCTATCGTTCTAGTAATTGATCAATCTATTGCATTGGGTCGTTATGGCTTCTTTAAGAATGGCTGCTACTGCTCTTCGCAACTTCAATAGGGTTAGTCTACTTAGCCGTGGAGTAAATCATGCCGTTCGATGCAGTCCAATTGTCATGACACGATGCACGTTGCATGCCAGCGCCAGGTTGGATACAGCCAAATTAATCGATGGCAAAAAGTTATCGGCCGAAATCAGCGAGGAGGTCAAGCAAGAAGTCGATGATTGGATGTTGAAAGGTAATTGATGTTTGCCCTCTTGGTAGGAGTGGATGAATTGTTCAAAAATTGCAGCTTACTACTTTTGCATACAATGAATCCTCATGCATGATCAACAATGCGTGACAGTGGTGATGATGATACCAATGATAGCGTTATGTTGTAGTTTGCGTTACCGATAGAGGAAATGATCAAGCCTGATGGTGCATCTCTCTTCATGTTGTTAGGTAATAGACGACCACATTTATCTGTTGTCCTAGTTGGTGATAATCCTGCCAGTAAATCTTACATTAAAAGTAAGACTAATGGCTGCGATAAGGTCGGCATCGACAGTAAAACACATGTTTTGTCCGATGCAATTACACAAGATGAATTATTAGCTTTTGTGGATAACTTAAATAAAGATGACGGCGTCGATGGCATCCTTGTCCAACTTCCTTTACCAAAGCACATGGACGAAAGAACAGTATGCAATGCTGTTGTACCAAGTAAAGATGTTGACGGCTTTCATGCTCTCAACGTCGGTCGATTTTGTTTAAATGATAATGCCTTCTTACCTGCTACTGCTGCCGGTGTAATGGAAATGATCTATCGATATAAAATACCCACTTTTGGCAAGCACGCTGTTATTTTAGGTCGATCGAAAAATGTTGGAATGCCCATTATGATGATGTTGCATTCTGATGGAAGTGGTAAGACAATATTTTAAAATCGACAACAGTTATTGCAGTGTTCAAAAAGTTTGCTTACAACTTTATAACATTTCTACCTAATTATACTATGAAATTGAATTTTCGACAAAGTTGAACGGTCAATGAGTGATAAATGTATGATACAACGTTAAATGGATTCTCGTGCTCCATGACTATTTTTATACGCGTATTTCGGGATACTTCAATTCGTGCACGATTGAATAAAAGAAGAATGATTATCATCATGAGGCATTGGAGAAAAGTAGATAGTAAATACTGCTCAATACATACAAACATGCTATATTGCTAGGGGATTCATGAATGCTATCCTTCATATTGTACTGTACTGTACTTTGAAGTTTGAACCTTTACACTAGTCATGAGGTTTTAACTGTTAACTTGAAAGTGATTGTCGATCGGCCGTTCTGTCTTGCTTGCTGTCATATCGGCTCAATGCCTAAGTAGAGTCGTCATGATTGAATAGATACTATTACTACCACTTTGTTGCGGATAAACGTAATGGGTAGTACAGAGTTGCCATGACCAGAAAAAATGTCTCTTTACAACAAATGCTTGCTTAGTGTATCCCTTTAATTTATATCAGGATGTTGATCATCAATCAAATCGATGATAAAAATTTCCAATCTACTCCAAAAACTGATACGGTTCAATACTGAACTGTACAGCTTAAAAGTTGGCAAATTGGTGCATACGATCAGCCGGTGAGGCTGGCATAGCCTCTTGTATTTTAAAATCAAGTTTAATTGTGCTGATTTTCAAAAAAGTAGCAAACTAAAGAAACAAAGTGTGATTGAAATTTGAATCAGCTCAATATCATATTTATAACAGCATCTCAGCTAGCGTTTTTATATTTTGTACTTACTACGCCTTACTCTAATATTGTACAATACTTGTTGCAAACAAAGCAAAGCTTACTCACTGTAGATATCTAATTTTCTCCATAATTACTTTTACGTGCAAGCAGTGTACTGCTCAATGTTGTCAATTCATTGACGTGTACGCCGTAGAAGTAAAAATATTTGTCATTGAACTTCTGAATTAAGATTTGATTCCATCTATAAAGTAAAGTCGCACGGTATGTTGCGAAAGAAGGATATGTAAAGTTGTGCGTATGCTACTATATAGGCAATAGTTGCATTAATAGATGTTGGCTTGATATAATTTACTAGATATTTCTTTCACTTTGAATATCTAGGCGATGCTACTGCAACAATTTGCCACCGTTATACTCCACCTGAGCAGTTACTGATCAACACGAAAATGGCCGATATTCTAGTCGTAGCTGTCGGAATACCAGGTCTGATAAAAGCAGACATGGTTAAACCTGGTGCCGCTATTATCGACGTTGGTATTAATCGAATCACTGGTCCTGATGGCAAGCAACGCTTAGTGGGTGATGTCGATTTTGAAGGCGTATCCAAAGTTGCTAGCTATATTACCCCAGTACCTGGTGGTGTCGGACCAATGACTGTTGCTATGCTATTAAAAAATACCATCGCAGCTGCAAAGAAGATTTATAAGTACTAAGATGTACCACTATTTATGGTAATTTTATTGTGACGTTAATGTCAAATTGATCAAGTCGTAGTGGTGACTTTAGTAATTCTAAATATTCTCCTATAATACGTAACATTGCAATCTTGACTTTTAGCACTTCTTTAATACAATAAGTTCTCTATGATATCAAATGCTGGCAGTAGGATCAGTACGCGTAATCGACATACGCTCGTATTAATAAGCTCTTAAGATAATAGGCATGGAGCTTTGGCCCTTGTTATATTGTTTTTCCTAAAAAAGTTGTAAATGCTTTAAACAACATTGCTAATGATGAAATGTAGCTACTGACAATAAACAATTGAAGTATTTTAGAGAAATTACGTGCCAACCGTTAGCGTTTTCACGTAGTGCGTGCGCTTTCAACATCAACTTTTTGCAGATGTCAATATTTTTATGGTAATATTATTTTCAGCTATTATCATGTCCTAACAAGGTTAAAATTTGTAAAAGGTATAACTTTTAAATCACTTTTGTTCAATTTGTCGGATTATATCGTCAAAACAGCAATAAAGGCGTTTCTTGCTAAGGAAAATCTTATAATACGCGTGATTGCTAATCGATTTTTAGCTTGCGTTTCTCCATACACTACTAGAAGAATACTAGTATTCCAAGGTTTGTCGTAGTAAAATAAACTCCAGTTCTCTCACGTAAAATTTGGACAGAATGAAGAAATTAATAAACGATACTGCATTACGATTTATTACTTGCAACAGTAGTACAAATGCCACTTTTCCAAAGAGGTCAATTATTGTTGCTATAACCGCACTATTCATTACAAATTAGGATAATGCAGTAAGCAGAACTTATAGAGAGAAGCTCGGAATAAATCCAATCGAATATTAACAGTGATTCTATACCATAATACAGTAATATAAAATTTATCTCAAATGCTGGTTGTATCCAAAGTAATTTGAATTTAACAAGGATTATCAATTTCACTTGTAACAATACGGAAACATCATATATCGCAAGAGTGTAACATTAGTCATCAAATTTTATAGAATTAACAGACATATCGATAGATCCACCACGATAACTGCCACGCTTTTTCTTTGTTTTTTCATGCCTGAATGACTTTCCTATTGGTGATCCCCAAAAAATTATATCTGTTATAATTTATATTGCATCGCAACGGTTGCATGACTCAATTGAGATAATTAGGATATATGTAAGATTAAAAAAAGAACTGTTCTACGCAGAAAACCTTTTGTAAACTTTAAATCTTTATTAGCTTTATCCCCCCAAGAATTCTTGGCATTTTTCTAAAATAAAAATTTGAAAAAGAATGTTTACAAACTACTAATAATCTTGAAACGGATGTGCACCCTATTTATGTTGGAAGGGAACAGTTTGCATGGTAGTCCATGACTATTAACCAGTTATAATAACTGCGAAGAACAATCCACTTTTTTCGCCTTTACTAATTTCATACCTTTGCTTCAAAGGAATTATCTCGAAATTGGCTTTCAATATTAGAGACTTCTATATTTACACGACGGAAGGGAGCGGTTTTGCTTCCCTTAGGTCCCTAGGAAAAATGATATTGAATGGTAGCCTTAGTATCCGATAGTATCTTACATTTTAAATCCGAAATTAAAAATTGACGACAAAGTTATAACTAACATTGCCGTTCTTTGAAACAGATGAGTTATGAGAATTAGGTTCTTGAATATTCGATTTTTGAATTTCGGTGGAATTTACTACGTCATCACTTTGTTCATCATTTGAAGAATTATCGGAATCATCTGAATCATCACTTTCACTCTCGGAACTTTCGTCAGAATCTTCCGATTCATCAGAGCTAGCTTTAGCATTTCCTTTAGACGTGTTGTTCTCTGACTCGTCCTCGCTTTCATCAGATGAATCACTATCACTGGAAGCAGACTTATCTGATGCTTCAGAGTCTTCAGAGTCGTCAGAGCTACCAGATTTACTCTCCAATTTAGCTGAGTCAGATGCTTCTTCACTATCAGAGTCATCAGATTCGTTTGTGTCGTCGGACCCTTTTGTTACATTCTCTTCATCGGAACTGTTGGAATCAGAAGAATTGTCACTGCTGATATCGACAGTAGGCGATTCATTCTTACTATTTTCATCTTGTGAGCTACTGGATTCATTATCACTATCTGAGGTATCGTCACTATCATCGGTGCTGGCTTGCTCTTCCACACTTATTTCAGAATTTTTAGACTCATTTAAAGTCTCATTTTCGATAGAGCTATCATCATCGCTATCATCTGAAGTGGTAGAACTTTCAGAACTTTCAGATTTGTTCTTTGCAAGTTTTGCCCTCTTTGATTTATTGCCTGATTTGCTACTTATTTTCGATTTCCGTTTTGTTGCACGTTTACCAGTGCTAGCCTGATTCGAGTCGTCCGATTCTTCAGAAATATCCTATAAATCGTCAGCAGTAAGTACATCCACTTAATTGAGAAGATTATAATGAAACTATCATGGAACACTGAGGGACAACTATAAAATAACTATAACATAAGATGACTTACATCGCTATCTTTCGAACTTGAAGCTTCCATTTTAGCAACTTTAGCACCTTTTAAGGTATTAAATTGAAGTAAGTATTATATACTGTGATTATGACTGAGGTGTTAGCAATCATTATTTCTCGTATATGGAACGAAAAATCAGGACCTGTGATTTTGACTCTATATGTAGGAAGGTATTATTTACAAAAGTGTACTAAATACTGTATAATTTTTGACGACGTGTAAACTATCATAGGGTGCAGATATCAGCACAAGCGGAATTCTATACCTGCTGCTATTCAATTCAATGGCTACATTATCACAATAAAGCTACCAAAATACTTGCATATTGGCTATATACCGATATTAATAATTAAAATAGAAAAGGCAATATTGTTGACTTAAGGAAAAATTAGTGTCCATGATATTTCTTACTTTGGCTGTGTCTAGTGTTGCCGTTATTCCTTTTTCTTTTCTGTCGTCTAAAAAAAAAGCAATCCTTTCTATGTACTGTATATTCAACACGGTGTAGTCATGAATCAATAGTCTTGCTGCAAGAGATACATTTTGGGCATCAAGAAAGGAGTTTATCGAAGCCTGACACTATGAATTGTTTTTTCACAAATTTATACAGCAATGCTCTTTTCAATTTGTAGGTAATAGCAACTGGATTTTTGATATGACGCTCTAAATATCACTTCATAACTTGGAACTGTAAATACGCAAGGAGTGTAGCAATAACCTACATGATACTGTAGAATAACTCTGTAGCATCCATCAGCCAATTAAAAACATGACCTACCTGTAATAGTCCTGGATGATATCTAAGATAGATATACCATCATCAGCAGGCATTTTCTATTGCAATACGAGAATATAGGAAGTTATTATTTATTTATTTTAAATTAATATGACAGTAACTAATTTTATAGGATATTCTTGTTATTTATTACATCAGTAACGCACATATTCAATCAGTGTCCATCTATGTTGCTATGACTAAAGAATAATCAATTTTCGAAATTGTACAAAACGCTATTTAAGCTTTTGGGTATTCAACCAATACTAGCTTAGTATAAAATATTAAAAATAATTGCAGATCGTATTAACCTGATTGGATTGCAAATGCTGTACATTCAACGCTGTCAAACATATCACTTTATGAGTGTACAGCCACAATGTAGAATCAAAATCAAGAAGGTTGATGGTGATAAAATCAAGAGCCAATCTCATTTCAGACCCCTATCTCGGTTGATATATGCTAATTACAGTAAAATAAAACCGCTATTCCTGTTCTATTTAAGCATTAATCAATTACAAACACTGCATGTGGTATAGCACTGTGCAAGTAGTACGCTTCGAATTTTATCCGTTCGCACGATCTGACAGTTTTTTACATATCTACTCTACCGCACTACGCTAGTATTGAGAGGAACTGGTATTGAGTATGCAGTAGCCACCACCAGTGGGACTTTTAGTATTCTTCTTATTAACATGTGTAATTTATTATTATACGTATGTTGCTGGTTCGTCCATTGCGGACATCCCTATCCATAATACTTGTCTATCGATATCAATGATACGTTTTACTAGTAGGATCATTTCTAGAGGTCTTCAAGACCTCATTACTTGAAGCTCACTTCAGAGACTGCAGTTCAACTTTAACTTGGCTGATCAAAAGCTGAGATAGCTCAGTTTTGAAAGCTCGATCGATTGATGATTGGGAAATGGTATACTACTGTACGACAGGTTCAAGTGATGGAGTAGCGCTCATTTTTGGCAGATAACTGAATACTATGACAGCGAAAGGGATTGTTGCATCATGACATGGTGGTTCCCCATTGGACGTGCTACCAATACGCCGGGAATGTGCCAATTCTACAGTACTGTAGGTAGTCTCATCAAGGAGGAGTTTAGTTGGCTTAGCAGTGGAATGAATTGCATGGAAGGAATAGCCAAATGAGATCGAGATTTTCTGTTGGTCAATTTCATGAACAGAATGCAGTCCATGATTGCTACACAGTACTGTAGGACCGTTGTCATTTTCACTTTCAATGGATAGAGTAGTGGGATGCTCAACGTGCCTACCTCTCGCTCCATGAAACAAGCGAACATTGGGTTGATTGGATAGTACAGTACTATACTAACTGGTACTAACCGTTCCGGTCTCTTTTGTAAACCATTTGGCGGAAGAACGAAGTTTTTGCTTATGTAAAAACGCCAGTATAAGTGGGTAGACAGTAGTGGGTAAGATGGACTGATTTATCGACTCCATTTTGCTGTTGTCTTGGCTTGATCAATTCTAGCTCAATTCGTAAAGTAGAAGAAGACGAGGTTGGTGAGCTAACGAGGTTACAACGATCCGATGTGCTCGAGTCGTTACTGCGCCGGCGCGAGTCCGTATGCTGCACGCCAGCGTGTCATGGCCATTGGTCATGGTGGTTAGACCCCTATACAGAGGGTGGGTGGAAAGTCATTTGAGATTTGGAAGTGTGATATCAGGATATTTTCCACACATTTTCTTGTAATCGTATACAGTAGAGTAAAGCTGTAACATGCTGGCGACACTTTGACCAACACTGTACTGTACAGTGCCTGTAAAGTCTGTCTGGTCACCCCAATTTTCCATCCATTGTAGTGTACTGTACAGTACAAAGTCTTCCGAACTGCCAGAGTGCAAACCAAACTGGGTGACACTTTCACAGTACTGTACACTGTAAATGGAAAGTAGCATGCACATTTTTCCTTACTGAAGTGGAGGAGAAGATTGAACAATCCGTCCCTCTGTAGCATCCGTTGATAATGGAAAAGAAACTTCTGAATGCCCATTTCGTCGCCGTTTTGCAGCAGCGAAAATGGAGAGTAGGACACTTTAAACTTCAGTGCTATACAGTACCGTCAACCTCTGGAACTGAAGTAGTTCGAGAGGTGCATGATAGTGTACTCTACAGCACAGATATTGTACTGCAAAATTTCCAAGCTTTCTAGTCGTTGATGCCAGTACTCCGTGCACAGTGTACAGTACACTCGTAGTAATACTGTAGTCCACGACGTCCGAACTGTACTGTACTGTCACGGCTACAGTTGTTTACTGTACTGTATAGTAATGAGGACTGTGGCATTTACAGTAATTTGCACTCTGATAGGCTTCGGCTAGAAATTTTTCATTCAGTCGCTTAGGTACAGTACTGTAATCCACTTGTAACATGCTGGCGACACTTTGACCAATACTGTACAGTGTACACTGTACACTGTACAGGACCTGTATAGTCTGTCTGTCAGATGTCCGTGTCACCACCGCGCTATTTCAAGGGGAGTACCCATGTCTTTGTCAAAGTCATGATTTGACCAATCACGCGCCTTGGCCTTCCCGCTAAAATTCTGGCGCGGGTGAGATGAGGTAGTTTTTTTCTAACGCATACTGGACACTAGGTGGTGTACAATCCAGTCCTCTTCATACTATCCTTCAGTATAGCATGATCATGTCCGCGGAAAATGCTCCATCAGCGTATTTACATCATACTTTTACAGTCCATGTCTTCAATGCTTACACCGCCTGATCAACATCGTCCTATACTGTAGATTGTAGACCCCTGACACAAGGCAACGCGTCGGTTGACACAGTACGACTACTGGAGTGTCAGCACACGTCGTCACTTGCTCACACGTCAATCGCATTGACTCACGATCGCCACTTGAGTTGAGCTCCCCGCTTGCATCGAGAGACGCCATTTTGCCATTTTACTAAACTGGTTGGCCTTCTTTTTGGCTCATTGCTGGTGGATATTTTCCTTGAATCTTCACTACTTTACTCTTGTCTCTGCTTATTTTAATTGATTGATTGATTGATTGGGTTGAGAGGACGCAAAACGTTGAATAGACCATGTTTGAAGCACGATTAGTTCAAGGAAGTTTAATGAAAAAATTCATGGAAGCGATTAAAGATTTGGTCAAAGAAGCCAATTGGGATTGTACAGGCACGGGGATCAGTTTACAAGCCATGGATACAAGCCATGTTAGTTTAGTATCGTTGCTACTACGTAGTGATGGCTTTGATCCTTATCGTTGTGATAGGAATATTTCCTTGGGTATTAACATGGAAAGGTAAGCCGGTCTTGCATGTCCACTTTCAATGTAATTTCATCCATTGAATTGACGAGATAGGCTGCAGAGCAGCAAGGCTTAAATAGTTTCTCACTTTTCTTCCTCTTCTACTTCTCCTTCCACTAGTATGGCCAAGATAATGAAATGCGCTAGCAATGATGATGTCATCACCATTCGTTCAGAAGATCATCCTGATAATGTAACATTTGTCTTTGAGAGTCCAAGTAAGTATCAGTCTATGTTACATTTTGATCAATAGAGCAATCGCTTCCATCATGTCTATACAAGCCGACTTTGATCGGGCTGATGCGTGACCACGCGGACTAAACCTGTGTGCAACTCTAGTACAACAGGCAAAGCATCATTCTAAATTTCCTTAACTTAACTTATTTTTACTGCCGATCTCACCTCATCAGTACAACAGTCGATAATGGCAACATAGATCATATGGTTCATGCTAATACACAGTAGTAATCTGTTGATCGATTGGACGGTAGTGGTATCCAATAACCAGTCAACTATAGTATGTTGTTGTTCAAGGAGTAACATTCCATAATCTCTCCATAGAAAAGTCTAGAGTAGGTAATCAATCCATCAGTGGGCTTGTTTTTCTTCTCAATCATCACCTTCGATGTTGGATAAACATACCGTACTCGAATGTGTAGCCAGATTTCTGTACTACGGACATCGGATACCTACCATCGTGTTTGTTAGTGATCTACAATCATTTCGTCTACAACAGTAAACAAGGTCTAGCTTTTAACTGAAATAAGTTAAATCACCTGAGTCAAAGGTCCTGTAACACTTGGACTCAATCGATGCTAAGATTACATGTACAGTGTAGATTAAAAAGAAATGCAACCGAAATAGATTGATAGACAGCATCGGGTCAGCACTTGGCTAGTGATAGTGCGTAATCGATTCTTGTGTCTACTATCCTATCGTAGATACTAGACAGAACACACATTGCCAAGCGATAAAAATGGATGACATTAGTCCCTTGTATTCCCATTCATATGTAATATATATATATATATGCACTGTGCCTTGCTCATAAATTGTGCAATGTAATTTACAGATCAAGAAAAAGTCTGCGACTACGAAATGAAATTGATGGATATTGATAGTGAACATTTAGGCATTCCCGTAAGTAGAATACCTGCTAATCATCATCAATCAACCATTTCATGATTTTATATACTGTTCAGTATGAACAATAATCAGTTCAATTTTGGTTACCTAGGATACTGAATATGATGCTATCATAAGTATGCCAGCTTCGGAATTTCAAAGAATCTGCCGCGATCTATCTAATATTGGCGATTCAGGTAGATAAAATTTGCCCAATTAGAATGGCCGATAGGTTTTAATCTTGTAAAGTTATGAGCGTTTTTAACTGCTTATTAATGAACAACATGATGTTGTGTTTTTATCAGTTAAAATTACTTGCAATAAAGATGGCGTCCAGTTTTCCGCCCAAGGAGACACTGGTATTGGTAAAATTGCTTTGAAGCAAAATGCTGTCATTGACAAGGAGGATGGACAAGTAAGATTTACAGTCACCGATATGTCTAATTTTCTTAATCGTGGTAACGTTTGAAAGTATCAACCTTAATATTGCTTGCCTTTCTGCTGCTAGGTTTCAATCGAATTAAATGATCCAGTGTCCTTAACATTTGCTCTTCGGTATTTGACCTTCTTTACTAAAGCGACACCTTTGGCTTCAACAGTTACCCTATCAGTCTCTGCAAAGAATCCAGTGGGTGAGTTAAACTATATTTTCATTTGTACCGAAAGTAATACAGGATTGTGTTATTACTTGAGGTAAACGAGAGCACTTTGATAACGCCATAGAGACAATTCAGGTCATCACCAAATCGTAACCTTATAAGTGATAGATAATGCTGTACGGTTAGAAAAAGACCACACTTTGATATACCTATGATTATTCATTTTATCCATCAGTTTACACTAGCAGTCAATCTATCAAGTGTTGTATTTTTAGACAGTAAATCCCTGAGTTGAGGTATAGACTACTAGTAATCATGGTTAAGGGAAACTGCATCATCAATAATTATTCCTACACCTGTTACACCGTATTACTTACTAATAAAATTATGATTCACATTGTTACAGCTGTGGAATATCGTGTTGATGACATCGGCTATATAAGGTTATTAATAGCGATCATTTTTACAATAATGGTACAGAAGTTATTCACCTTGATTGTTTACTAAACTAGAAATCGCTTTTTATGGTAGATATTACCTGGCTCCAAAAATTGAAGAAGAAGAGGAGAATTAAGTCGTCAACACAAAGAAATATCGTAGATCATTATAACGAATAACTTACTACCGTAAATCAACGACATTTGGGCTAAATTAATGTAGTTAATATTAATGGCATTACCATAGTTATTGACTCAATTGATTATATGAAGTTACTGTATCTTGTTACATCGATTTATTTTAGTTGTTAGATATTTATAACAACATTGATGATTATGTTGTAGTAGGCATGATTGCAAACTTAGGGCTTTAATTAATAGGCTGTAGTCTAGCCAGATGTTAATAATGATACAGTAATCATTTTGTTCATAAAAATAAGTATCAATATGGTTAGTATTATCAGCGTAGTTCCACCATCTGTAGCAAAGTCTTTCATAACATAATGACGTACCGTCATTGTTGACAGACTTCAATATTAAGTTATACTGTATAATCAATAGCGAAAACTACACTAACGGCAAGATTACGTTTAATTGACTACAATAAAAGGAGTATGTTATATTTTAGCCATCTGATGATATGATTTATGTTGTATGGAAAGAAAAAGCAATAAAGCTTGAATCATCGTATAGCCGTAGCACAAGGATTGTAATGATTTTATTTCCGTTATCGTAGACTGAAAATTTGATACAGTTAAAGGGACGTGAGCCATCACTAGTATTAGCTACCCATGTTTTATCGTTATTAATGTTAAACTAGGTTAGCTATCTAAGGATATAATTTTTATCTGATTGTGCAATTGTATATACAATTTGATAGTGTATCATTATGGAAGAAACAGTAATGTCTATAGAAATTACTACAAAAGTGTCACAATAACGCTATAATATTCACTTTGACCATTTCCGTCATGCAGTTTTTCATCTAACTTCAATTTTGAATAAGTTGAATTACAACTTCGCTTCTGATGCAACACAAAGAAAATGACTTGATCGCCCGCAATCATATCATCTAGTAATGCAGCTACTAGATCATAGTTTTCAGAGCGGAATTATTGGCTAAGTTACATTACTTGCCGATCTTAGCCTTATAAAAACTACGAATATGGCACAAATTCAAGCCTAACAAAAGTGCGGGGATCATAAATTATAGCACAGTCTTATACATCATAGAAAAAGGCAAACATTTAGTCAGAAAGCAATGATATAACATCGTTTTAAGCATGTCATGAATTCTTGCGCAATCCATAGATTAGTTATTAAAAAAACAATTATTTACTGTAGTTCAGATATAATTATGTAATACAGTATTAATGTTATGGTAAACCACTGTATCCCCATTATGTCATTGATCGAGATAGCGCAAACTTTCAGAGTTGGATATTGTTTAAAAATTAACTTTTATTTCCACTTGGCATAGATGTTTAGCATTATCCTATCGTTCTGCAGTGAAAATCGTAATAATATTGTACTTAATAGAAAATAGTACGTGTTTTATGCATTGGGATAACATCTATTTCTGATCGATATTCTTTACAATAATCCCATAGATAAAAATCAATGATGATAGAATTAACTATTAAATCACGCTGTCGTAAATCTTCATTGGCTTGTATTTGAGACTTGATTTCTCTATAAATTAGCTAAAAATCATTAAAACAAGTACGTCTTAGCTTTATGTAAGATTGGATTTGATAGTTATAACTTATAATACAGTCTAAAAATGATAAATGATAATCTAGTTCAAATTTGTTTAGGTCATCATTCTTTTCCAGTTATTGCACTTCTAGAAATTAGGCTATACACTTACCTCTACCGCCCAAATAGATGATCCTCGAATTTCTAACTCCATAACATCTCCTGCCTTAATTTCGGTTCCTTTACGTAAAGCGCAAAGTTAATCAAGTGCTATTTTTACTAAAGTATACCATTACTACACAAAGTTACCGTCTTTCAGATGCTGCATCAATGAATCAGAGTATGTTAGGACATTCATAAAAGCCAAAACCTAAGAGTAATTCAATTATTATCCAAAGGTCCAATTTTTAATTATCAATTATTTACCAAATATTTATAATCAATTGGCGTGAGCTAACCTGTGGAATTCTTCGAAAACAAGGCAATCGCAATAAGAAAAAAGATATAGATGTATGATAATGCAATGAATTAGCTGGTAGGCATAGTAATTGGATAGTAATAGCTATTAACAACACCCTACTTAAGTGAAGATACAATCTCAATATGTATAAATAAACTAATTTGGAAGTACTAAGTGGTAACATACTTATAATCTGCAAATAAAGATAGAATCTAAATAATATGAATCAATAAACTAAGTTGGAAGTACTAAGTGGCAGCGTACCTATGAAGATAGAATCCAAATAATATGTATCCATCAACTAAGTTGGAAGTACTAAGTGGCAACGTACCTATAATCAGCAAACATGGTAATGTACTCGATATCTTGAAAGTAACCAAATCCTTGTCCCTCAAAGCAAGCCCAAATATCTGCAATGAGTATTTGAGCTCGCTTATAAAATCCAACTACCGAAATAAGAAATCATTCCAAGTTACACATTAGTTGATGTACATACACATAAAAAATGATCATTCAATTCTAACCTTGAATGTCATGAAAGGTGGATACATCATTAAAACAATCGAAGGTTGAGGTAATGCTTTCTAGTAGTTTTTCCGCAGATTGATTGCACTGCTTTATACAGTTAACGAAGGAGCCATCGAATTTCTATATATATATATTAAGCCATGAATAAACAATTATCAATAAAAAGCGATGACTCCATTCCTCTCTAATACTGTACAGTGTTAATTCTCAAATCAGAAATATACCACATAAATAGCTACGTTTGCATATACTGTATATAGAGTAAGTAATAATGAATTGTTCATTGTTCATTACCTCAATCACTTTTCGACCAACTTCACGAAGATTTTTAACTCTGGCTTCAACCAGAGGAATTCTAGTATCTGTTTCAGATCTAAATATAGTTTCAAATTGCTGTGTGGTAATATCGGCATAAAATTGTGGTGTAGTCAATGGTATTCCTTCCTTGAAAACATACGTAATATCGAGGGAAAAAGTAAAAGTTATTCAAGCAAGCTAACACGGAGCTTCGTTATACAGCATGCATCAATCAGTTCACAATCTTACATCGAGTGCTCTATTGATAGCAGCAACAAGCGACCAATACCCAGTATAATTTTTTTCTTTATATCGGATGACAAATTTCTGTGGATTTTCTGTCCAAAAGGAAAAGTTTAGCGTATCCAGGACGAGTATCCTATAGGCAAGGAGAAAATCAATCACCAAGATATTATGCTGCTATTACGCTAGTATTGTAATTATAATTCGAATGTTGATGGTAGAAATGTGGTAGAGTGCTTTGCTAAGCTTTACCAATTTAATGTTGCTTCGTTCATATCTTTAGGATGGAGATCATGCTGTTTCCAAGACTGTATACTGTAGGAATTTGATTGCAGTGCTTTCACAATCTATCATCATTTAAAAACGAAAGCATTGGGCACTTGAAATCAATTCTGTATCTATGTTTCCTTAAATTACAGTTGGTAATAAGTGGAAAATTTTTTGTCATTGTCTAATAGGATTTGTATGGAGTTTTGGTTAAGAAGGAGATTCTTTATCTTTGCATAGTTAAGCATAGCTGCTATGGTTTAGTCTAGTTCAATCGATGACAACTAGTGCAGTTAATTTTATATCTTTGCCGAGCTAAGCTACAGTAGGTAACAACTAGTGCAGTCAATTCTGTCTTTGCCTAGTTAAGCTACCGTAGGCAACAACTACTGGAGTACAGTTAATGTTATACCTTTACCGAATTAATAGGCTACAGTTGGCAATAACTAGTGCAGTCTATGTTGTATCTTTGCCGAGCTGAGTTCTAATAAGTCATAACTGGTGCATGATGGCAGTCAATTGCCTATCTTTGCCGAGTTTTAGCTACTGTTAGTAATGACTAGTACAGTAAATTGTGCATCTTTGCTTAGTTACTAAGCTACTATTGGTAAGAAGGCTATCGAAGTGTCATAATAGAATGAAGAAGACATACCATGTTAGCGACTTGTTTGATACCATCTTGCTTGATTTGAACATGTTTTGCAAGCTTACATACTAGCTCTGCAGATTGTCTAACATTGACCACCATTTTTGCTGAGATTGCTTTCTTGTTGGAAGATCAAGGGCTCACAGTCAATCGGTAAATGCTTTTAATCTTGTTCAACTGTTCATTTATCCAGTTGCTGACAGTATATAATTACAGTATACTACAATTTGAAATCCTTAAGTACAGTACGGTAGATTGCTGCTTTGAACTTAAGCAGAGCAACGTTATACGGGTACAGAATCTCGAATGAAGTAGTGTTCAAGAAGCAGAAAATTCCATGAAAACCTTCTCATTTTCGACGTACAGACAGACGTCCACGAAATGCAAATACACCAATAAATGTGTTTGCTGATTTTACTTCTATCATATTATTACAGGCTGCATAGCATACGATAGAGCGTTTTTGCAAACAAAATGGATAGAATAATATTCACTCAGGCCTATGACAGTAATCCAAGAAGGATATTTAGCAGGGGTGTTCAATTAGCAATCGATTTAAAAGTGATTTATAAGACATCCACGTACTGTACAATAAGCATTCGCTTCCTGTTTTAGGGCACTTGCCAAGAAATCGACATTATCTAATTGTACAATAGTCTTAGCCTACCTTATGCTCTCCATACTTGTAAGATCATTCTTGATATATGTATATTTCATAAGGTATAGCTCTTTCTTGGTGATATCCTACCGTATCATAAGACATCACATGGACATGGATGATATCTGTCTGGATCCTTATACGGGCTGTATGTCTCCTCTTGCGTTGGATACTAACTTACTACAGCATAGTTTTGCTTCTAGGAAATAGGACAACACCATGAACTTCTATAAACGTATAATGGCAACCAGAAATAGCTCGAAGAGAACTCTCTTGACTATTTACTTCACTATAGCTAAAAATAGCTGCTGAACTGGGATCTATCGTTACAACTTGTCGTTTTAACAACGGATAATTTATGCCCTTGACTGTTTGAACCACATTCCCAACCGAAATAACCATAAGGAAGGCATTATTATTGCTTCTAGAGGGTATTGAAAGCATTTTCTGAATCGATCCATATATTTCCATATATCAGCGATGATACTGTAATTTATTTATTCTCAGTCAACAATCGTACAGGAATGAACAATCCTACCATGCTACATCTACATAGTAGTTCCCATGTGGAATCGATTAAAATCACTTATGAAAGGGCTAAAAACAGAGTAGCATAGACGTGATCTGGCTATTTCTTGACTTAAGAGATAAGAATTGGACTACTGCGATGCAGTAGATCACTTCGAATACTTGAAAAGTGGATCAATCAATATCATAAGAATAGCAATACTCTTCAAGTGCTCTCGCAGTAATGAAGCTAAAATCATTCATAAAATTTAATTTTATTATTGTACTGCACAAAATTCAAAGCAATAACAAATTGTAAGACAGTAAATTACAACCGTGAAAAGCAGGTTAAGGGAATATCATAATTACAGTATCAGTAATTGATTGATGTTATTTTCTTTTGATATATCATTCTACTAGCTTTGCAATATTCAGCTAGTCAATAAATTATAGACTGGAAAAAATACAGCATATCAAACACACAGTTTTGTTGTCACCAGTCAAGTAAAGAGTAAAAGAGTTTAAATTTAATTGTTATTATCGTTATCATGATGTCTTATGAAGGATTAAAAGGTGAAACTTAATACTGTAGTGTGGCATTACATCAAAGCGATTACAATCCCCCAAAATTGATCTATAATAATTTCCTGTACATAATGCGAATGCATCTACGACGAGAAATCGTTTACATCTTCTCATAAAGCAGTTAAATCACAAAGCTGTTACCAACCATCATACAGCATAAATCAGATTGGCATCGCTTGTTTCTTTAAAACACTTCAACCAGTATACACATAAATCAATCATGACTAAACAACTGGAAATTATAATAAATATATAGATATACGCATTCCATACATTTTCAAGTTCTCCTAGAGTGATGATACTTTGTTGCACTACGCGATCATCGTAGCACCGATGAGGATGTTACAATTGCTTATTGAGTATCAATGTCGTCATGGATTGCACGGAATGATCCAAATTAAATTAGAAAATGAATCCAATGATAATGTTGTTGACAAGAGCTCGCTCGATGATAAAGCTTGTAAACGATTCAAATAGGAAAATTTTCTCTCCAAAATTTGTAAGTCATACATGAATTATACAGATACATAGGGTAAAAGCTATGATAATTAATTAATAATAAAGAGTGATAAATCAGCAGTTATTACTGTCAAATTTTTTCTCCAAGAGGAATAATAGTGGTAAGAATAACGTTAATATATAATTATTGTCAAAAGAAGGCAATCATTCTTATTACTATTATTATAATTATTATTATTACACATTGTCATAAAACAATAACATATATATTTTCCTTGCCATGATAGCGATGGCAAGTTACTTACATAATTATAACAACCTGATGAGCAGACTATACAAAAAAAATTATATGATGGTATCATAATGATAATAATAATATTGATGTCATAGAGACTAAATAGCATCATATACTTGTATGTATATTCAGAGGTTATATATATCTTTCGGCCTGGTAGATATTTTGCAATTCAATTTAACCAATTATGTAATAGTAATAGTAGTTGCACAACTACTATAGCTTTTATCCATATTCGGAATAGTCCATTAATACGTAAATACATCGACATTGATGGTGCTCACAATTTATACGTTATTGCTTATTAAATGCAAAATCAATACATCGTTGATATTTATATTTGCTATCGACGCGGAAAATCAGCTTCAGCAAAATGGTCAATTAGCAAGTTGGTTGTAGTAGCAACGTTTTGTACGTAGATATCATTAAACATTATACTGGTTTTCGAATTTGGTCAAATAAAAACATAAAAACAATTTGATGATACAGTATCACTGCTTCAGTAACAAAGTAAGATAACGCAATTCTACTATTTCTTGTAAAACAAAAAGCTGCTTATTTAATATAGATAAATGATTAATCATTATTGTAAATTGACAGAGCACTACGTGTAGCAATGTTAAATAACACTTAAGCTACTAGCATTGCACGCAAGACAAAACAACACTAGAATAGAAGCGCACAGTCGTCCTTGTACAAATAACTTGGAAAAAATGACACAATACCAATCGAACAGTTTCTGATTGATAACGGAGCCGAAAAGAAAATACTTATAGATTCACTATGCAGTAATTTCTATTATATTGGATAATGAGGTTGTAAACGTCCTCCGATATCATCATAACCAACTAACAAAAAACAAATTTCGATTATGGAGTTAATAACGTCTGAACTAGATAGGAATAACTAAGACTACATTGTAATAAACCCATTTTCGCACATCAGAGCAGCTTAAATTATCAATTAGTCGGGAGCTTAATTATACAGCAAAGGAATTACTGTCAATGAAGACGGTCTCCAATTTACTTCGTCTCAACAATATCAAAACTAACGAAAAAGAAGTACAAATACTATCATTCATGATAATCGACTGCATGGGTCAATGGATGTCAGACTTGTGGATGATTAATGTCAAAGCGAACACACTAGAGCACATTCGCATGTCTTGTAAAAGTCAAAATCCGAAAGAAACTAATAATTAATTACTAGCATTAAGCACTTAAAGATTAATCAAGGCCTTAAGCCGGTCAGCAAAATTAAAAGACAAAAAAGCTTCTTAAATAAAGCTGAGTTTAGCATGTTAATATATCTTACTATCCTAGCAGTAAGTATAAGCTTTACGAGTTGGGATGTAAGACCAGTAATGAATGCATTTTGTTGATACATGTCCAATGATAACAATAGAGTTTGAAAGCTTTGCATACACTTTGCATAACGGTGCTACCACAGTGATCCTGGATTAGATAGATTTGAATCATGACGATATCTACCTGAACCTGCAAGACTAGCGGAAACATCGTTCATATAAGATGATGACGTTCCATTCTTGCCGCTGTCTGTAGCCAATTCTAACGATACCTTTTGCTGATTCTGTTTTCGGATATCTATCATTTGGGAATAGTTTAAATTAGAATTTTACGCACTGATAAAACATCTTTTTACTATTCCTACTTTGTTGTACCTGATATTGCTGTCACCATTTTTCTACGAGCACCAAAAGTTGTAATACCTAACTCCTTCAAGTCGGCATCTGTCAGTGTACTAAATGTTTGCAAGTCAACCTCTTGTTGTAAGAATACGTTGACGTATTTCTCCAGACCCAACTTTTTAAATAACTTTGTTAAATCTAAACAGTATATAAATGCAGATTTACCTTACTGATTTAACCATTTTATTTTTAATATGTAATATTAGTTCATACCTTCAGAACCAGCATAGCTCTGCTTATCGGAATCAGTTACGTCACATGTTGTGCCACTCATCGTACTAAAATCTATGATGTAAATTGTAAATAGACACGCATTAGATATCAACCCGTAAAATGTAAAAACAGTATTACGCCTTAAATAAGAGCAAATTTGTAAATAATGCGTTTATTGTACCTTGCTTATCTCTAGTAGAACTTAAGTCGTTGGACCAAATGTTATTGGTCTGTAAATGTTTCAGTAAGTGGGTATTAGCAATACAGAAAAACTTGCAAGTGTTAAGCTTAATGAATTAAAATTTTTACAACAGATATTACAATACTAACATTCTGTTGTTGCATTAGCTGGCTATTAGGTAAAGTGGATGATAAATTAATGGTATTGCTTGGGAGAATTGGCTAAAAAATCACATAAATATTAGAGAAATTTATTTTAAAGATAATACAAGTGCAATCTGAGCGCATGGCAAAGGTACACTAAGGTATTTAAATTAATTTTCATTCAAGCATAAATATAGTATATAGAAATGACAACTATTCATATTAATAATAAACAACTACAATGTAGTTACCTTTTGCGGCTTAGCATTTGGAGCATTCATTTCTTCCATCTTTATGATATCATTGTAAAAAAAATTTAATTATACTTTGGTTAATATGATAGATAAATTTCTTAATCTATTAGCTATTTGTCCTTGTACCATTTTTTTCAACATTGAGCCTGGTACCGATTTTGAGAAACCATAACCGATCCATGAATACGTCGGCGTCCGTACTTTCGATGGAACAACTTCAGTTTGCATCGCTGCAATGTACCAAGTATTCAAATATTGAATGACCATAGTTCTAGTTAATAATCATTATCGAAATTACAGTCTAATTACAGAGTCGAATAATAATCTTACCCAGAGAGGCTAAGTACTTTTTTCTTTCATAATCCAATTCCTAAAAGTGATAGATATTTACGATGATTCATCTCAGCAAAACAGAGCAATATCTATATAAATTCATAACGCGCCACTTACGTGTGATTGCATGGTATTATTAGGCATATTCCGATGATCACCGCTATAGCCATAAAGTAAAGTTGTTAAATAATGATAGAATAGTATTTAAATAAATAAATAAATATATAATGCCCTACATAGTTCCCGATGATCGAGGACTGTCTACGTAATCAACATCATCTGGTGAAGAGCTTGAAGAGCGCAAAGGTGAAGAATTGATGCCAGAAAGTATACCAGTGTTTGATCTACCGGTAAAGCTATCATTTTCACCAGAGGAAGCACTAAACGATCGCGTGTCTCTATTTCCTTCCTCTTTGGGAAGTAAAGATCCAACGTTACAATCGCTATCGTTAGCTATGTTCCTCGTCTTATTATTGAAGGATACATTAACAGCCTTTTTGACATAATCTTTGCACAACAGTAACAAAAATTGTAATTAATTCATTGAGTAGAATTCGGTATATCTTAGAATTTTATATAAACAAAATACTTATACGAAAGAATTGTACCTTTTTTGCCCTTTGTGGTTAAATCTCCTTTATTTCTATAATCATTTGGCTAAAAAAGTAAAAGGATAACGTCATTGAATGAGACGAAACTACAAGTAAAATTTATATCTCAGTGCATACGTACTCTAAATGTGATTGTGGTGCTATCTTTAGCGGTGAGCATCGGACTTTGTGATCTTATTTGATTGTTAAGAGGACTTAGACCAGGTGGCATATGAGGCATATGAGGAGTATTTCCTGAATTAGGAGGATATGGAAATGCAGTCATTGGATTACGCCTTTCAGGGATTGTTGAAGGGCTATTTTCCATCATGTCGTAATTTTGAGGAGACATCGGATATCCTGGTGAAGTTGATGGTGACGCCCCAAGGAACCACGGAGAATTAATAGGACTAGCAGAACCAGAACTATGACTACCAGGACTCGGTATAGGACTTTGTACACCACGCAAGCCATTACTGTTATAGGAATTGGTTGATGAAACACCACTATTATTATAATTTGATGCTCTAGGTGTTTGCCTTTTGGAATAATTTGCACCATTACGTTGGTTATTATCGACATTTTCTGATATACTGATCGGAGGTGGCGGTAACTGACTGGGATTTTGCTGTGGATCGATACCAAGAAGTTGAACACGCGCCCTGTACATATTGTACGCGTTCTTTTCTACACTTTTTACTATAGCAGACTATGAAAATGTTCACCAGTTAAGCATTAAATAAATAGGATATTACTGTACTGCACACTCCTAAATAGGTTAACTTTACTAGTGTAGTGTAACATTTATTTGAAATTGAATTATTTTTACCTTGCTAGGTTGCTTAGGCTTAGGTTTGATGTTTATGTAAACATCCAGAGTTTCCATTAGATAGTTGCTTAAACCTAAAAATAAATGTTCCTTAATTATTATAGAATAATCTACGCTTACGAATTTCTATCCTGTTACACGATGGTTCTTAAACAAGCAGTATAGTGCAACAATGACCTTTGAAACTGATTCTATTTCTTAGGAATATTACCTTGATCAGTATCGATATCTTCTTTCATGTCAAACATTAAGACTAATGGTAAACAGCCCTAAGCATAGAGAAGTATTCATTATCATTTCTAAACTCATACCAAAAAGGCAATAGACAATGATTAGAAATTATATCTACCATAAGTTGTTCACGAGCTCTGCAAACGGCTTCGATTTCTCCAGTTATATAGACGGTACTTCTTTTCGATGGTGCAGCGTTGGTGTCAGGAAAATGAATACTAAAATCAAGAAAAAATGTGATTCAGTAACAACCATAAAGCTCTTATTACACAATAAAAGGCTAATTATCTCGCATTATTTAATATTAGACCTATTTTGATAGCATAACAAAAGCTACATTGGGGCTAAATAATAACTTACCTAGAACCAGTTCGGTGCATAATATTTTTAATATTTGAGCCGCCACGACCAATAATAAAAGTATGATGCTGTGGAGCAATATCGAGTTGAACACTGACTGGGATCATGCTCTATAGAGCAGTATAGTATAGTTTTAAGGATGATAGAACGATCACACTTGATTAATCAAATTACAATATACTGTACTAGGACTATTGTTATCACTTACAACCACACTTCCACATAATGCCTCAATTAAGGTAGCAGTAGCCTCCTACAACGCGAAAAAAAATCGTAATTAACATTTAATTGATTTATAGAATAGCCTATTTGCTGAAGCAATAAGTATTCTTCACAAACAATTTCCTAATATATAATTTTAACAACATAAAGTAAGAGCAATGTAAGAAATTTTACTTTAACGGCAGTAGAATTGTTTTGAGAGCCTCTCACTAAAACTGTCGTAGCCATTAGTCTTGGTTTCTAGAAATGATAGCAAGCGCATTAGAGATTAGTGGCAACATAACAAGATTGTCATTGCACTGCCAATTATTTAATACGAAAGTGATTGCTAACCTGCTTGAAAGTTATCGTTACATTAAATTTCTCTATCAGTTGTTGTATTAAGGATGAAAATTGATCAGATAAGCTACGTCCACTCTGTTGAGCACCAGTGTGAACCTCAAAAGCCAATACTAGCGGTAATAATTCCTAAAAATCAATAAGGAGTACCAATCGTTTCACATGGATGATTTTATTGAAATTGCATTTGCTGTCGATCGATGAGAATGGCATCCGTGTATATTGCAATGATATCGTTATGCGCTGTGCTATGTAACTTACTCTTATTTGTGCACGAGCTGATTCAACACCAATAGGTTGACCAGCAATTGAAACTTGATTACTTTTCTCTCCTTGCGAGCCTCGATTAGAATCCGGAAAGTGGATATGACAACCTGTTTCTTGCATCACTGTATCAAGCATAGGGGAGAATTGTGTTACGAGAGAAAAATAATAACAGTCCATTAGTAAATTTAAGGCTAATTTTCAATTATCTCATGAAAATTCAAAAAGCAAGTTAAACGGATATCACAAATATCATCGTTTGCATCTAGCATGGCAACGATAGAACACTAATAATACTGGAATCATCATCATGACTTTCAATAAGGCAATATTTTATCGTTACCAAAGATAGAAGAATAACGTATTGGTAAATTAATAGTCAATCGTTTACTTCTAGGCACTAATCACCTTAATCAAGTGTAAAGTAGAAATAGTATATCGCTTTGTCTACTAGTTTATACTATGCAGGATATAGTGAAGTAGAATTTTGAAGCTTAATGTAAACTAAAGTAAAATATACGAGTAACGCAAAGGAAATTACTGTCGAATGGGAATCCTTCAATGCAACCCCATTTCGATAGTAATACTCGTATGCAAAAATAGGGAGAAAATTTTTTCATGCTTATCATATAAAATGGAATCGTTGTGATGATGTCAAACCTTTTTTAATGTTTTGGCCACCTTTACCAATAACGTGAGAATGATCCGTATGTGAAACATCCATTTTCAAAGTTACTCGATTGGACTATCAAGTGAAATTGATAAAAATAATTAAATGATTGATTTTAAAGAGAATATACTACAACTAATTTATAATCTTAAGATTAACGATAACCAACATGATAACTATTTGTAGAAGAGTTGGATTTGCGAATTATTTACTTAAATAGTCTCTTGGGTATAGTGTATTGAAAATGATCGGTATGTATTCTTCATCAAGTAGTTGGAGCATAGTCAACATAGCCCTTCTAAGTATACACTAATAAGGCAGTTGCTGATTCAAACTAACTAGACATACTTTAATCTACCGCTACATTGAGATGGATTATTCTTTGTCGATATTCGATTGTGAGTAGTTGCAATCTATCGAACTTTATGTGCTACAGAGACAGCTATCGATTGATATGTGATAATCGCGGTATAAAAACTTAACCAGAACCACTACAAATCAAGAATAGTTTTCCTCTATTGTAACTATTGTAAGCAATGGTTATTCCGGAACTAGAAAAAATATTGACAATACCATTTTGTAACTGTATACGTATAGTGATCACTGATTTTTTCCTTTCTAAGGATGGTTTATTATGTTCTTTAGAATGCTTACTTTGGTGTCTAGTATTGCCATGATTTTTTCCTTGGCTAATTGAACGTTTTCAGGTTTACCAATAACTCGAATATGAGGATCTAAAAATATATTGATTACCACATCCATTAGTAAAAGAGTGTAAAAATGCAATCAGTTCGAGTAGTGGTTATGATCAAGCTTAACATTTGTATTCCTATATATATATATACATATAGATATATGTTAAAATAAAGAGTCCAAGTTATCTTGGCGACAAGAACACATTGAAATTGAACTCAACGATACTGTTGCTATTGAATTCTTTTTTTAGACATGTGTATTTTTTAAATGAAGTTTTATTCTACAGTAGAAAGGGAGCCATATCTATCTTAATAGCATGACTACATTTCAATCCGTCCAACTAAGCCAGTTGTATTTGTCATTCTTTAAAATCTTTTCTATCCAGTTGTACACTGTAAAAGTCAATAGTAAAAACTGTTTTCACGGCAAGATTGCCCATAATTGTCTACAATAAAAGGAGTGTATTGGCTATTATTGATGTTGTCCATATTGCTAAATGTATTGATACTATGGATTGATAGTATGAAGAGAGAGAGAGAGAGAGAGAGAGAGAGCAATAAAATGTGGACAGTACTACGACGACACGGCAAGTGTTGGAACGATTTTAATGAAGTCATTTTAGTGTCATCGTAGGTTGGAAGATTGCAATAGGGTTGTAAATAAATGCATGATTCGTCTTCACTAGGCATATTGGATAGATATAGACATGAGCGATAGTATAGCCAATCTAGTATGACTATTTTCAATACTTCCAATAGGGTAACATAATTTAACGTATGTCATTCTATTTGACTATGCTATTGTAGACATTACACATTGTATCAGCATGGAAGAAAGGGTCCTCCAGACTAGAGTAATAATTGGACATGCTAGAGTAGAAAAGAGTAAGACAAGACCCCGCACTGCAGCATGGCAATGTAAAGCCAAGTCGATACTATCAATAAAAGAAATTTAGAATTTGACCACCAGTTTAACTATTTTCCTTTACTTGTAAACCTGTCATCATTGCTACACAAAATGTCAATTGTAGTCAAGTGATGAATTGATTCGATGGCAACATGATGGTCATAGAAAGAGGAGTCCATGTTGGAAATGGTCATTTTTAGGGGATACAATTACGAGTAGAGTCTGTAGTCGGTTGTTTATTGATTGACCGCGGTCATTTTGACTTAGTAAGAGCGAATCCATTTCAATTGCATTACAAGTATGTAGCAATGCAATGTAGTTTTCCTTTTATTGTAAGGTGGATGGAGAAAGTTCAACGTCTCCTCCATTTCTCGATTCCAATAGGATAAGTACTGTATCATTTATATAAATCATCAAAGGAAGGGCGCGATACAAGTTTGCTTTTTGGAATCATAGAAAAATTCATTTTCATTGAATCAAGATGAAAAATAATCTGCCATTCTTTTGATTAACTAACTTGGATCATTTTTAGTCATTTCAATTTGCCTCTATCCTACTAATTGATCTTTCATTTGAACAGTTTAAAAATTGAATCAAGTTGAACCAACACTACCTTTATTGTAGTCAATTTCAAGTGGAAAAAAATTTTAATCCATGAATGTGGACGATGTGGAATGTTATCGTCGATTGGTGCAGTCTACTTTCTAGTCATCATGGACATACAGTGCAATGGTTATGGATTCCAACTCGATTCCAAACAATGATGGTCTATCCAGTATGCCCCCCTTCATTTATTTTGATGCTTTTTTATCTCTTTATTTGCCTGGAGGCAATCGTAACAGTTGCAGTTGTATAACAAGAAGTGGATTGAATTTTTTTTTTTCTCCACCATGACTGTCATGGAGGGAGATTTTCAATGAAGGCAAGATCGTGAGAAGGATGGCTTGTATGGGGGGGGGGGGCATAGGGGGGTAAAGGTGCAGAAGGTGTGCAATGTGTGGGTTCAATATTGGAAAAAGTTTAAAGTTCATACTTAATAATTTACTTGACAGCAACAAACTACATCGGTGATGAATCAACATACTGCAGTGCATGAATGAATGTTGTTGATGTGGAAAAAAAGCAATTGTCGTTGAAAGGGTCCATTGCCCCAAGTTGATGTCAATATCATTTTGGCATTGCCCAAAGGCTTAATGAATGATCTCAACCCATCTGTGGCCAGTGGAAAGGATTGTTTTGTAATGCATGGACCCAAGTAACAAAGTCAAGCTTAGCAACGTTGGCTAAGTGATCATAATATGCATGTGGTCATGACTACAATTTAGTGTAAGATGGAAAATGGGGGGGCTTGAATGGATTGGATGGACTATAGAGTAGTCAAAGTGAATTTTATGGGCTTGACATGCCATCCTTCTCAATCAATCTATGTTGTCTATTGGACTCGACTGGACAAGATTGCCTTACCACGGTAGGGGGAGGGAAAGAAAAATGACTTAAGTGCATTGATTACCAGCTAATCATTGAGATCGATAGAAGGTTTTATTCATCATCATAACTCATTCAGTGGATCCTTCATCAAACACGTTAAGCCTTCAAGTCATTGATCCATTGACTTCGTTTCATACAGCGATCGGTCTTGATATCGCGATCATCATCATGATGAGTCTTTTTATGGGTTACTAAACTCCATGTTTGGTGGTAGTAACTATCCATGCAGTTGAGCATGATCCTCTCGTCGATGATCGATCGCTCACTCCATGGCATGATGGACGACGCGGTGGAAAAAAGACAGAGCAAAGGATAAGCATGATCGACATAGAAATACCCAGTCCAATGTTGATCATCCAGCAGATCGATGATTGATTAACTCTGGAGATGTTGTATTTCCAATGGCGTTGATATCCATTCAATGACTCCACTTCCACCAATTATGATGCATTCATCCATTAATCCCCCCCCCCCAAAAATAAAAAAAAAAATAAAAAAAAAATAATAACTCGCCTAGCCAGCGTTGTTGTTGATTTTTCAACTGAAAATACGACAGTATAAGGGAGAATGGCTATCCAATTGAATGGGTTATTTTTTTCCAATGGGCAGTCCTGTGATGGCCGACAACATGGCCATGAGTTTGATTTGTGTAAAGTTGTTATTGGATTGTTGGACGATTTGTGCTGGTAGTTGGTGTGTATGAAGAAAGGCAAAAGGCTTGTATTGAATTGACGATGGGATTGCATGTTGGCAAGAAGAAGGGCAATGGGATTGTATTTTGAAATGGTTGTTTCTCTTTGTACAACTTACCTTTTTTAGACTTAGCGCCAATTTTTAATTTAGCAGGCCAAGTGATATGCGTCAAGGTATCTTCCATGATCTAAATAGAAGAGAAAGGAGACATGTTGAAAAGGATGGCATTGCACTAGCGATCAACATACGCTAAACAAGTGGAGTGGAGAGTGTTTTTTTGGTGGGGGGGGGGGGCTATATTGATGATGATACATGACAACGATGACGATAGTCTAGTATGACTATGGTGTTGGCGAGCATTGTTGGCTAGATAATAATCTTCATTTTTACCTTTTTGAAGAATTTTTCACCCGATTCTATCGGACCATTGTCAGTAGCTAAAGTGCAATTAACACAAAAAGAAGATTGGCAAAGTCAGTTGTCGATAGATATGGAGACAACAAGAATGAATCAAGTAGACGACAAGCAACGAATTTGGATCAACAATGATAAACAAATTGCAACGAGTCAAAAATGAAAAAGGAGGACGGGCTTGATGATCTCTCTCTCTCTCTACCTTGTAACATCTGTTCCAGCTTTCTTCGATCAACCCGAAAACGCTCTTCCATTTCATCCCCGGTACGCGTCTCATCGTCTTCATTCTCTCTTTCATCACGATCGCTACTAGCATTGCTGCTGTGATCGCTTGCCACAGCAGCCATAGTCGACGTGCTTCGTCCAAATCTCCAAAATGCAACCCGATTTCGATACAAATGCAATCAAGCACAAAACCCTGCAATCATATCAATCTTGCTACAAGCTTCTACGTTCTCTACTGATCGCCGATGCCGACATTCACTCACTATGGACCCTTGGCAAGGGGCATGCGTACTCCAGCCGGCCGATCGGCTGGCTGGGATACCCTGGGCTAGCGTGCAGTGTACTGTAGACTACAGTACGAATGGAGTTGCTTTGTACTGTAGCCGAACCGGCTACGACTGCTCGTGCGTACTCTAGCCGGACGATCTGCTTGCTCTAGTGCCAAGTCCCGGGTGCAAGCCGATTTCAATACAAATGAAATCAAGCACAAAACCCTGCAATCATATCAATCTTGCTACAAGCTTCTACGTTCTCTACTGATCGCCGTTGCCGACATTCACTCACTATGGACCCTTGGCAAGGGGCATGCGTACACCAGTCGGCCGATCGGCTGGCTGGGGTACCCTGGGCTAGCGTGCAGCGTACTGTAGACTACAGTACGGATGGAGTCGCTTTGTACTGTAGCCGAACCGGCTACGACTGCTCGTGCGTACTCCAGCTGGACGATCTGCTTGCTCCGCTGCCAAGTCCAAATACAAATGCAATCAACTCAAGAACAGAACCCTGCATCATATCAATCTTACTACAAGCTTCTACGCTCTCTACTGATCGCCGTTGCCGACATTCACTCACTATGGACCCTTGGCAAGGGGCATGCGTACTCCAGTCGGCCGATCTGCTGGCTGGGGTACCATGGGGCTAGCCGCTAGCGTACTTGAATGTACTGTACACTGTACAGTACTTTCAAAACAACAACTTCCGAAAGAAAAGTCAACAGAATAGTGTAGCTTTGTACTGTACTGTCCACTGTCCAGCCAGGTCCAGTTGGACTGACTACTACACTACAGTATACAGTACTGTACTACTGTACTGTATTTCAAACAACAACTTCCAAAAGAAAATTGAGCAGAATGACGTAGCTTTGTACTGTAGCAGAATGTACTGTACGCACTCAGTATAGTACTGTACAGTACTGTACTGTCCACTGTCCACTTGTCCAGTGTCCAGGTCCAGTTGGACTGACTACTACAGTACACTATACTGTACTACTGTACAGTATTTCAAACAACAACTTCCAAAAGAAAATTGAGCAGAATAGCGTAGCTTTGTACTGTAGCAGAATGTACTGTACGCACTGTACAGTACTGTACTGTCCACTGTCCAGTGTCCAGGTCCAGTTGGACTGACTACTACAGTACACTATACTGTACGTACAGTATTTCAAACAACAACTTCCAAAAGAAAATTCAGCAGAATGGCGTAGCTTTGTACTGTAGCAGAATGTACTGGACGTACTGTACTCTACTGTCCTGGTACTGCCGCGGTCCAGTTGGACTGACTGCTACAGTACAGTACAACTTCCGAAAGAAAATTCAACAGAATAGTGTAGCTTTGTACTGTAGCAGAATGTAGTACAGTACACTGCATCGGTCCAGTTGGACTGACAGCTACACTACAGTACTGTACTGTACTACACTGTACTGTACCAAAACAACAACTTCCGAAAGAAATGTCAACAGAATAGTGTAGCTTTGTACTGTAGCAAAATGTACTGTACACTGTACAGTACTCTACTGTCCAGGTACTGCAGCGGTCCAGTTGGACTGACTGCTACACTACAATATACAGTACCAAAACAACAACTTCCGAAAGAAAAGTCAACAGAATGGCCTAGCTTTGTACTGTAGCAGAATGGACTGTACTGGACGCACTCTACAGTACAGTACTGTCCAGGTACAGTACTGCAGCGGTCCAGTTAGACTGACTGCTACACTATACAGTACTACTGTACACTATACCAAAACAACAACTTCCAAAAGAAAAGTCAACAGAATGGCCCCTAGCTTTGTACTGTAGCAGAATGGACTGTACCGCTCTACTGTCCAGGTACTGCAGCGGCCCAGTTGGACTGACAGCTACACTATATCAAAACAACAACTTCCAAAAGAAAAGTTCAGCACGATCACCGTCAAGTCTCAATCCGGCGTATTGAGCAATCGAGTATTTATTTATTTATAATATGGGTGATTTCTATTTATTTTCAAGAGTATTTTCTATTTTGCATGGCTAATAGTTTACTACCGCAATGGCAGGAAAACCCCCAAAAGAGTCCTGTACTATAGTGTACACACGTAGTACAGTATAGTAAACGACCCAACTGGAAACGTTGTACTGCGCGCTCGTCTTTCTTCCGCAGGCTAAAAGAATCGGTCAGCAAGAACCGTCACTTTTGCCTTGACTGTAGACGCCATAGGACTCTACTTCTTCTAGCCTTTTCCCAGTACATACAGTCATGACGAATAACTGATACAAAACTATCCATGCAACTGATCGACAAGGGTCTCTAGGATATCGTAGTGGAGTCAGTCAGGTGGTAACGGAAGTTTGCA